CTATAGTGCGGTGAAGGCACGAGGAAAAAGAGCGAGAGGAAATTCAGGCGTCAGAGTAGTTGCATTGAATTGAACAAAAAAAATAAATTGTTTAGCATATGAAAGGCATATATAGATTTGGCTTGTAATTACAAATTAGAATAATTCATATTTTAATTAGTCACCGACCCACAACTAGACAAACTAATTAAAAAAAATATTGAAGTGGATATACAGTATAATCACGGTGTTCTTTTTAGGAAGTTCTTTAAAAAATGAGGTGGTCAATACTCTATAGAATAAATGAGGTGGTCAGTCTCAATAGAATAAATGAGGTGGTCAATACTCAATAGAGTAAAATTTCAGGTAGCCTAAATTTTTGTTGGCAACAGAGTAATATAATATATCTTTCATTAATTTTGAAAAAAAAAAACGAATTGGTCCATGGTGACGCTCATCAAATCTGTTGTAATCCAATCAATGATAGAAAGACCAAATGTTGAAGAAATATGGCAAAAGTAGCTTGTATTCCAAATGTGTTTTATAAACCTATAGACATTTGTCGGTTGGTTGAAGGTAGAATTCTAAATATTGTGACATACATATCCAGAAGAGAAACGAAATAATATATATATATATATATATATATATATATTGTCGGTTTACAAAAGTTGCATAAAATGATCATATCTATCATCAACCTTATACAGTATAAATCGATTTTCCTCAGAATTCGTAATAGTTTTTTCTTATATGGTATTGACATGTATGAAGTCCTGTTTAGAAAAAAATAAATACTGTTTCAGTGAAGTTTAACTTATATCTTCATAAAAACCAACTCTTATGCAGTTTTCTTCTTTGATAATTATGTTGGATTTGAACCATCAAGTCATCAACACACCTCCGTTGTATAAGAAAAAACAAACAAACAAATATCAGACGCTCAATTCAGTGATCTCACCTCTAACGACAGTCTTGTATTAAGTATAAGAATCAAAACCGATATTTATCTCTATGGAACCGACTCAGATTGATTAAAGTTTGCTACAACGTTTAGAAGAATTTAACCCCCCCAAACAAAAACTTTTGAAGAAAGAGAGATTTACATAAACTAGCTAGGTGAATTCATAATCGACGTCGGTAGTTAAAAATCATAACTCTCTAATTATATGGTCGTATAAGTATGTGTCCTTTTGCGCTGACAGGAGGACACTATAAGCCTGTATTCTTAGCATTTCTTTTGTAAATACAGTAGAACTTCTATAAATTAATACTCGATAAATTAAATAATCCTTATAAATTAATAAATTTTGCTGATCCCAAATTAGGTTAATATAAAAATTCATCAAATTCGATAAAATAATAAGATAATAATTTTTTTGAAACTCCTATATAAATATATGGTTCCAACAAAAATATAAATTAATAATTATATAAATTTATGTAAATATATATAAATATGTATAAATATAATATTTTAAAATATGACTAATGTCTTTGTTTTTACTTAAAGTTGAAATTTTATTGGTTCTCATCTCTCTAATTATTATATTAGTAGCTCTTATTACTGTTTTACTATATACATTCAAAATTTATGATAATTTTTTTATGTGATAATTGATTTTTTTACATATAAATATTTTTAAATGTATTGTACTATTATTTTCAATTTTATCAACAATAATATTAATAATAGATATGGTTTTTTATAACTTTTAAAGTTATGAACATGTATATTTTTACATGGGCGATTCAATATGGTGTTAAAAACTATTTTATTGCGATAGTTTTTGATTGTTAATCATAATTTATATTATGAGATTTGTTAAAATTTGGAAATATAACATTATTCCAAAGAAATTTTTAGAAAATTATATACAAAAAGCAAATTTTCTCTATAAATTAATAATTAATAATTATATAATTCTTAATTTACAGATAATTAATATCACGATAAATTAATAAAATATTATAGTTCCAACATTATTAATTTATAGAGGTTTTACTGTAGTCTGAATTCAAGTAGTTTTAGTATTTATCCATTTTATATACTGATAAGCTATCTAGGAGATATGCATATCCATTTTCGTTAGAAAGTCAACATTTTATAGATTTATTGATAAACATTAATGGAAACATATTGAAGTTGAAAGACTAATTTAATGTTCTTCATTAATTTAAACTCCTTCCAAACATGGATTTACTTATATAGTTATATCTATATACCATTATCAAACGACAATCATTCTCCTACTAAAAACATTATAATGTTAAAGATTAATGACCATCCACAAGAAGAAACTTTGACTGGAATAAAATGTAGATAAACAAATATAAATGCACATTGAAACATATATGCTTTCAAATTTTACAAAAAACATGATATAGTAAAAATTTGTAGAAAGGAGTCAGATCATTAATCTAAAAACATATAGACACAAATCGAATAAAACTAATAAACAAGTATTTTAAAAAACTATATTTATAAAATATCGAACATACAAAAAGAACAGACCAACAAACGAACGAAAACACACCAATTCTTCATCTTTTCAATTTCGTAATTTGTACGGTTTCAGAGTCTAAGCAAAACCCAAGCTTCACTCCAAGTCTCTCACCAAATCCACTGAACAAAATCGATCTGAGAACGCAGAGACAATTTCTGGATTGATGAAGCTTGGAAGATGAAGAAATTGAAGAGCTATTATATGCAAGTGCGTCACCAGCAACAAGCTGTAGACCGGAAATGGATTCTTCCACTAGCGATTGGATCCATTTGTTCTCTGTTTCTCTTGTTGCTAACGAACATAGCTTCGTCTTCTGGTCAGACTCGTTTGATTCCGTTTTCAGTCTACGGACTTAGATCCTCCGTGTTCGTCGAGTCCAAGTTAAATCCATTGTCCGTCTCTCTCTCCGTCTCCGTCTCTCCTCCGCCGCCGCCGCGTCTCGCTTACCTAATCTCTGGCTCTTCCGGAGATGGTCAGATGCTGAAACGGACACTACTGGCGCTTTACCATCCGAACAACCAGTACGTTGTTCATCTCGATCGGGAATCCTCGCCGGAGGAACGGTTGGATCTCAGTGGTTTTGTGGCGAATCAAACCTTGTTTCAGAGATTCCGGAACGTTCGGATGATTGTTAAGGCTAATTTCGTGACTTACCGTGGCCCGACTATGGTGGCTAATACGCTTCACGCAGCAGCGATTTTGCTTCGAGAAGGTGGAGATTGGGATTGGTTCATCAATCTCAGCGCCTCTGATTACCCTCTCGTAACACAAGATGGTAACGAAAATAAGATTCGTAGCTTAATCTTCTTCGTTTCATCTCTGTTTATCGTTGTTTAATCATTTGGGTTTTATCTCGATTTGGTTCCAGATCTGTTGCATACCTTTTCGTATCTGCCTCGGGATCTCAATTTCATTGATCATACGAGCAGCATTGGCTGGAAAGAGTAAGTGTATAGTAGCTACGAACTGTGTTCACCACAGCATTTCAAAGCCTTGAGCGTTTTTTCACAACTTTCTGAGATTTTGTGAATCTGAGTTTTTTGGAAAAACTTGTATGTAGGTCTCATCGAGCAAAGCCGATAATTATCGATCCGGGTTTGTATATGTCAAAGAAAGCAGATGTTTTCTGGGTTTCACAAAAGAGAAGTATGCCTACAGCTTTCAAACTCTTTACAGGTGATTTCACTTTCATAATCTTTCCATTTTGGGTAATTAACATATTGGGAATATGTCTAAATCTGGATATGATTCCGTAAATGTAGGATCCTTGTATTTTCTTGAAACAAATTGAAATCAAGAACCATTGTTACATTCATTTTGTGTAAAAAAAAATATTGTAATACAACAAATCTTAGGTTCTAATGAGTTTGCTGATGTGGTTGATATTTAGGATCTGCGTGGATGATGTTATCTCGACCTTTTGTGGATTATTTCATCTGGGGATGGGACAATCTTCCTCGAATTGTGTTAATGTACTACGCAAACTTCCTCTCCTCACCAGAAGGCTACTTCCACACTGTGATCTGCAACGCTCGAGAGTTTACGAACACAACAGTAAACAGTGACTTACATTTCATCTCATGGGACAATCCTCCAAAGCAACATCCTCACCATCTCACGCTCGATGATTACAACAGAATGGTAGACAGTAACGCTCCTTTTGCCAGAAAATTCCGTAGAGATGAGCCGGTTCTCGATAAGATTGATTCAGAGCTCTTGTCTCGGAGTCACGGGATGGTCACTCCTGGTGGCTGGTGTATCGGAACGAGGGAAAACGGAAGCGACCCATGTGCAGAGATTGGTGATACTTCGGTTATTAAGCCTGGCCTTGGAGCTAAACGAGTTGAGAAACTCATAACCTATTTGTTATCAACTGAGAATTTTCGATCACGGCAATGCAGGTAATAGGAAATTAGGTTTTGTTATACAGCTACAGTGAGTGCGTGTTGATGAGCCGATACTTTGATGGTTGTATAGAACTTGACCTTTGGATTTTCTTCACTTGGATTATTGCCGACATTCCGTGAAGAAAATTTGTTTATTAAGTTTTTTTTTCTTTTGTCAACACTGAAGTTAGACCTTTTCCAACTAATTATCCTGTTATTTAGGTTTGTCACACCAACATCCATGTTCTTTTTTCTTTACTGTGTTTCAAAACTAAGCTTATTATTGCTATTTCATTGATTAATTTGTTACGTAATTGACAGGTTATTGTTCAAAATTTATTGATCTCCATGTGACTAGGGACAAATTACACGAGGGTGGTCTTTGCACTCCATGTGAATACATTTGGTTTGAATATAAAGTTATCCAGAAATTTATCACATAATATTGTACCAAACCCAAGTTAAGAATTCTCGGTCACTGTTAATCTGAAACACGTACCAAATTGTTACTCATCCCATCTCTTTATTCTAATCCAAAATATGAAAAAGGAAAACCAAAATCGAAGTCATTAAATCGGTTTGAAAACAGAAAAGAACGAAATCGAGCAGGAAAGGAGCAAACAAATTCGATCATCAGAGACTTAAATACTAAGAATCATGAAGATTTTCTCCATCATATTGTTGCAGTATTTGCTCATCAACTGATACCATAACGAATCTAAAACACATGACATCATAATATGATGAAAAACGAATGAATCCGACTAAATATGATGGTTGCAAAATTTTACACAAATGATTAAGTGATAGTTTGGCCTTTTTTATTAAAAATTCATATTAAAGATTTTTCAAATTGTTTACATATAAATTACTCCGGATTACTTCTGCTCAGAATTATGAATATTTATTCTCATCGATATTAAATCTCTGAAGTCTGACATGTGAATTTTATTCAAAAGATCATCATAGCAGAAGTTTTATAAAACTATACATTGTAATGAGGATTCAATACAAATTATCAGTGTAAAAATTGGCTCTCATTTAGTATAAATTATCCTCTTCATACTCTGTTTTCAGAATAGCGTATACTGCCGATAAGGCAAAGTAATCACAGAGCCAATACCAATATTTCATGATGTTTAAACAAGAAAACAAATCGAATACTTAAAAACAAACAATTGAGATCAGAGTTTGGTGTAAAATTCTCGGTCACGGTTAATCTGAAACACGGACCAAATTGTTACTCATCACATCTCTTGAATCTAATCCAAAAAAATTCAAAAGAAAAAAAAAAGACCGTATGCATCAAGAAGAAGAGAAAAAGAAGATTAGATCATCAGAGAATAAAATACTAATAATCATATAGATTGTCTCCGTCATATTGTTGCAGTATTTGCTCATCAACTGATCTCGCTAGGACACAAAATCCGAATCTAAACCCTAACACAAAGAAGAAAGAAGACGACCAAACCACAGAGATATGTCTTCGTTATCTAACTCTTCTTTATATATCTTCGTCAGTGACGGCGAGTTTTAAGAAGCGAACCCTAATTAGTATAATAAAATTCGGCCTTTCTAAGTCTATTATCAATTATAGGCCCAAAGAAAATTCGAAAGAAACGGTGATGGCGGTAAAAAAACCTAGTAAAGGGAGAATCTCGGCCTTTTTAATTTGAGGTCCAATGTATTATTACTTATGGCCCAAAAGTAAATAAAAAAATTATTTTCCTACCGCTGAAACAAACTCAAGAAGGAGCCGGTAGTGTCTCCGAAAGGCAAATTTCGTCGTTGTTGCTTCTTCATATTCGAAATTCTCTCTCTCTCTCTCAGTCGTAGCGAGACGATCTTTCTCTCTCATTTGTTTCCGTGTCACTTTTTTGGGTTCCGATTTCACTCTGTTCTCATCGGAATTTCTTCTTCGGGTTTTGGTTACAATCTGGGAATTTGAAGTTTGGCCTTAATTGTCATGTGTATCTATGAATAATCGTCGGTGATCGAAGTGTTTCATCTCGATTACACTGTTACTTCAGAGATCTGAGTGATTTACTTCATCTCTTCCCGGAGTCATATCTCTGGGAAATCTGTAGCGCCTGAAAGTAGGTGTCATTAACTTCATCTGAATTTTGCTCGTCTGGGCTTCTGTTTGGAAGTTTAGGTTCCTTTATCGGTTTCTCGTAACTTCAGATTTCTGTTGTTTTTCCCAATTGCTGATCTTGTGTTTTTTTTTCCTAGCAGCAATGAAGCGGATTAAAGATGATATCTACGCCTCTGGGTCTCAATTCAAACGTCCTTTGGGCTCTTCTCGAGGCGAATCGTGAGTCCCCGTTTCGGCTACTTCGAAATTCCAATTCTATATCGAAGATAATTTATGTTCTTCTTTGCATAGGTTTTCGTTTTTGTGATTTTGTCTCTCTCTTCAAAGTCTTTCATTTTCTAGCTGTCTGTAAACCATTCCTGGTTTCACTATTTTTTCTTCCTGACTAGACAATTTGGTTTTGGTATGTATATTTCTAGATTTAGTGGTGATCAACTTAGTTTTCTTCCCATGCAATCATCTGACATTTAGATCGGAGATCGTTTTTGGTTTCTTTGCACGGAGATCGTATTTCTAGATGTCCACTTATGGTTTAATTGAAATCTACTAAGCGATTAAAGCCCGTTTTGCGCAGATATGTGCAACCTCCAATTCCTAGAAGTGGTGGCACCGGAGGAGAGAGCATTGGTGATGGGGGGATAAACTCTCAGAAATTGACTACTGATGATGCTTTGACGTACTTGAAGGAAGTCAAAGAGATGTTTCAAGATCAAAGGGACAAATATGATATGTTCCTTGAGGTTATGAAAGATTTTAAGGCACAAAGGTAAGATCTTTCTTTCCTGTCAAATTTGAATTCTTTTAGCTTGAAGGTATCTAAAGACGTTCTTCATCATGCATTTACAGGACCGATACATCTGGTGTGATTGCACGAGTGAAGGAGTTGTTCAAGGGGCATAACAATTTGATTTTCGGGTTTAACACCTTTTTGCCTAAGGGATTTGAAATAACCCTCGATGAAGAAGAAGCACCACCAAAGAAAACTGTTGAATTTGAAGAAGCCATAACTTTTGTAAATAAGATTAAGGTGAGGAAAGTTTCTCGTATATTGTTTTCTTGAACTGCACTTACACCTTGTGTGTCATTGTACCAATCTCCTTTTTATCACTGCAGAAACGGTTCCAGCACGATGAAGATGTCTATAAGTCTTTCTTGGACATCTTAAATATGTATCGGAAGGATAATAAGGACATCACTGAGGTTTACAATGAGGTAGTGCCCCACCAGGGTGACTATATCTCTGCTATACTGTCACATTGAAATTTCTCAAATTTTTATAGCTCTGATATCTGTTTGTTAGGTATCGACTCTATTTGAGGACCACCTGGATTTGCTTGAAGAGTTTACTAGGTTCTTGCCTGAGTCTTTGGCGCCTCATTCAGCAGCCCAGTTAATCCGGAGTCAGGCCCAACGGTATGATGACCGAGGATCAGGCCCTCCTCTTGTGCGTCGAATGTTAATAGAGAAGGTATGGTATTGGTTACATTTTTCCCTGGTTATATTATTGTTGTCAGGTCTCTCGTTTCTGTGCTGATACGTTTTCATCATCAGGATCGCCGACGAGAAAGGGCTGTTGCTTCTCGGGGTGACCGTGATCATAGTGTTGACCGTTCCGACCATAATGATGATAAAGCAATGGTTAAGATGCACCGAGAGCAGAGGAAACGCGTTGATAAGGAGAATAGAGAAAGGAGAAGCCGTGATTTGGACGATGGAGAAGCAGAGCAAGACAACTTGCACCATTTCCCCGAGAAAAGGAAGTCATCCAGAAGAACTGAGGGTTTTGAAGCCTATGCTGGTCCTGCTTCGCATTCTGAGAAAAACAATCTAAAAAGTAAGCAGCGTTTAGTTCTATGGAGATTTAACACCTTTTCCGTTTTTCAGGTTCCACAATTTCAATGCTTTATATAAAAGATTAATGCTACACATCTTCGCGCTATATCATGTAAAATATATAAGTTGATAAATTGCTAAATTGTTTACATTATGTGAATAATATAAAAATAGTTGATTTTCTAATTTCCAGTCAACAGGTGTGTTATAGTTCAACGAGTCTATTTCTGTTTATGAGACTTTTGTTTTTTTGTGTGTGCGTACTTTCACTGTGTTAGGCATGTACAACGAAGCATTTATGTTTTCTGAGAAAGTCAAGGAGAGATTATGCAGCCAAGATGATTATCAGACATTTTTGAAGTGTCTCAATATTTTCAGCAATGGAATTATCCAGAAGAAAGATCTGCAGAATTTGGTACGTCTACAAACAGCTTTAGTGTTGATGGATAGGGGGATAAATTTCGTCTTAACTCGACTCTCTTTCATTCAGGTTTCTGATCTGCTTGGAAAATTCCCTGATCTCATGGATGAGTTCAATCAGCTCTTTGAGCGTTGTGAGAGAATTGGTATGTAAGATTGCCTACTGTCTCTTTTCTAGTGAAGTTAACTAGCTGTTTCTGATCACATCCTTTTTTCAGATGGTTTCCAGCATCTCGCTGGCGTTATGAGCAAAAGTATGCAGCATTTTCTTACCTTCTTGTCTATGAATATGTTTTTCTCTTGGCTTTCTACGCTATAGGAATGTCACTAACACTGCTTGGTACATTTGCCGCAGAATCACTTAGCAGTGAAGAACATTTATCTAGGTCAATGAAGGGAGAGGAAAAAGAAAGAGAACACAAACACGACCTTGATGCTACTAAGGAAAAGGAGCGATCCAAGGACAAGTACATGGGGAAATCTATTCAAGAGCTTGATTTATCTGATTGCGAGCGTTGCACTCCTAGCTACCGGCTCCTCCCTCCAGATGTAAAAGATTTTGAGAGTTATATATTGCATCGGAGGCATTTTAACTGTATTAACTATTATGTCTTATTTGCAGTATCCAATACCTTCTGTGCGCCACAGGCAGAAATCAGGAGCTGCTGTTTTAAATGATCACTGGGTTTCTGTCACTTCTGGAAGTGAAGACTACTCTTTTAAGCACATGCGCAGAAATCAATATGAAGAAAGCTTGTTTAGATGTGAAGATGATAGGTATGTTTACAAGAAGTTTTACTTATATGATAGCTTGTGTAGTCTGAATGCTGTGATTGTTGTTTACTTGCTTAATTTTACAGATTTGAGCTGGATATGTTGTTGGAATCGGTGGGATCTGCTGCCAAAAGTGCAGAAGAATTGTTGAATATAATCATTGAGAAGAAAATAAGTTTTGAGGGTTCCTTCCGAATTGAAGACCACTTCACAGGTCTGTAGGAGTTTAGTGATTGTATTCTCTCTGCTTCATCTCTCTTTCTTTATATCTGAGCCCTCATTTCTTGTCTTACCATTTGTTTATTGACATATTACAGCCCTAAATTTAAGGTGCATAGAGAGACTTTATGGCGACCACGGTCTTGACGTGACAGACATAATACGTAAGAATCCAGCTGCTGCACTTCCTGTAATATTAACTCGTTTGAAGCAGAAACAAGATGAATGGACAAAGTGCCGTGAAGATTTTAACGTGGTCTGGTCGGATGTGTATGCGAAAAACCATTACAAATCACTTGATCACCGCAGCTTCTATTTTAAGCAGCAAGATTCTAAGAACTTGAGTGCAAAAGGTAAGTAAACTCTTGGAACATGTTCAGTCTATCAGCAACCTTGTATATAAGTAACCAAGACATGCCTTCTTCACGTTTGATTTCATACATTCATCTGTCATAGGTCTATTCTTGCATTTACTTATTTGTTACTATAATTTGTTTATTTGTTCTTTGCTTGAATACCAGCGCTGGTGTCTGAAATCAAGGACCTGAAAGAGAAGTCTCAGAAAGAAGATGATGTTCTTTTGTCTATTTCTGCTGGTTACAGACAACCCATAATTCCTCACCTCGAGTATGAATATTTAGACAGAACTATTCACGAAGATCTGTTCAAACTAGTCCAATTTTCGTGTGAGGAGATATGTTCTACAAAAGAGCAGATCGGTAAAGTTCTGAGGCTCTGGGCTAATTTCCTGGAGCTGATGCTTGGAGTTCCACCCAGGGCCAAGGGGTCAGTTTCTGTTGAAGATGTTTTAGAAACCAAGCATCAGGGTGCATTTACCAGCGGGGAGGTCAATGTCAGTTCGGATGCGATAAGTTTGGCTTCTAGGCAAGTTAAATGTGCTGCCAGTGGAGATGAGTATACTTTATCTGGGCTCTCCAAACATGGCGGGGCTAGTTTGTTGAACAGGGATTACTCAGGGAAAGAAAACTGTAAGGATGACGATCCTGCTGATAAAGATGTTGCCACTTGTTCTGCTGTAAAGCCCCATAAAGATCAAGAAATTGGAAATGGAGCCGAGAAAAGATCTGGAGATGTTGATGAAAGAGTGGCCACTTCAAGTGCATCACTCCCAAGTGCGGTAGAAAACAATAATGGTAATGTAGGAAGCGGAGATTGGTCAGGTATTTTCAGGATTGAACTTACTTTGTTATTCTTCAGTTTATGTGCAATATTTACCTTAACGTCATATGACAGTGATTCTTTAATTTTATTTTCAAGGTTCACGTGGCATTTTATCCAAACCAAGTGACTCTTTAGATAAAATTGATCCCATTCAGCGTACCCAGGTACAGTACTCAGTTTCACAATCTAGTTATATGTTCTTACATTTTGACAAAAACAAATTATATGTTCTTACTTATCTATTTTGTATTTTATGGACTCTTTGACCATCCTCGCATCCCTGGTCATATCTCTAGGGAGGTGATATAGGCAGAACTATATATATAGCAAATGGAGGGGAGCCAGATGCTTCTAAAGCCAACAACAATTATGATGAAACTGGTGGTCCATCCAAATTTGAGAAGGAGGAAGGTGAATTATCACCTATTGGTGATTCCGAAGACAACTTTGTTGCTTCTGCCAAACCAGAACATTCAGTTGAAGCTGAAGGAGAAAATGATAATGATGCTGACGATGAGAATGGTGATGATGCTTCAGAAGCTGGTGAGGATGCGTCGGGAACTGAATCTATTGGTGACGAATGTTCACAGGACGATAATGGTGTGGAGGAAGAAGGCGAGCACGATGAGATTGATGGTAAAGCTGAAAGTGAAGGTGAGGCAGAGGGATTGGAGTCGCATCTTATGGAAGAAGATAATGGGTTGCTTCCATTGTCAGAACGTGTTCAATCATCTGTTAAGCCTCTTTCAAAGCATGTAGCTGCGGTGGCTTTGCTTGATCAGCGAAAAAAAGATTCCAGAGTATTCTACGGGAATGACGACTTTTATGTTCTTTTCAGGCTTCATCGAGTGAGTGCAAACGTTTCTTATGATTTGCTTTCTCGTGTTTAAATAAACGTATTGTCTATTGTGAAATGATTTAGCAATTTGTTTTTTAATTGTTTGGATTTCCAGATCCTGTACGAGAGAATTTCGTCGGCAAAACAATATTGCACAGGCGGTGAAATGAGTCGGAGAAACACGAAGGATACTAACTCACCAGATCCTTATGCCAGGTACATTCCATTACTTAATCGATGTAGATATACAATTGGTCCATTGCTTTTACATAGCCGATGCAGGTTCTTTATTCAGTTCAATAAAGAGAACTTATAATCTCGTTTTGTGTACCTATTGCAGGTTTATGAGTGCGCTGTTTAGTCTACTTAATGGCTCATCTGAAAATTCCAAGTTTGAGGATGAATGCCGAGCTATTATTGGAAACCAATCATACGTTTTATTCACCTTGGAAAAACTGATATACAAACTGGTTAAACAGGTAAATTTCATCACTGGCTTTACTGGTTTTAGATTGATCATTTTTTTACTCTGAAAACATGGTACTACTCATGAATTTCTGACTCCATTTAATCTATTGCAGCTTCAAGCTGTTGTAGCGGACGATATGGACAATAAGCTCCTTCAGTTGTATGAGTATGAGAAATCCCGGAAACCTGGGAGGGTCTTTGACTCAGTGTATTATGAAAACGCCAGGATCCTCCTTCACGAGGAAAATATTTATCGCTTGGAATGTGTAAGGGCTCTAAACCAGTTCTCATCTTTCTCTCCATTCTCTTAATTATGACTTCATTGACCCTGAAACTTGTTTCCTGTGTTTTTTAATTCATACGTAGTCTTCCTCTCCACCTCGTTTGTCAATCCAGCTTATGGATAATATACTCGAAAAGCCCGAGGCTTATGCAGTTTCCATGGATCCCTCGTTTGCAAGTTATTTGCAAAAAGAGTTTCTTTCCAACGCATCAGCCAAAAAAGAGCCACGGGCCATTGTGTTACGAAGGTACATTTTAGTTTGGTACCATTCCATTACTTTTGGAATGATTCAGGACATTATATACATTAAATTAAGTCCTTTCGCTGAATTTTTTTTTTTTTTTTTTTTGTGCAGGAACATGCGTAGATACTCTGGTCTGGATGATCTTGCAGTAGCCTGCAAGGCAATGGAAGGTGTAGAAGTAATTAATGGCCTTGAGTGCAAGATGTCTTGCTCTTCCTACAAGGTAACAATGATTCGGTCTTAAACCAAAATCGAGAACCAATCTACACATAAATAAGAGCTGACTGCTTTATCTCGCTCTTATGTATCCATAACATCTCTTGTTGTAGATTTCGTATGTTTTGGACACGGAGGATTTCTTCCACAGGAAGAAGAAGCAGAAGAAGAGCGAGAACTTGTCACAGGACAAATCATCGCAGCAACGTAAGTTGGATAGAATAGAAAGATTCCACAAGTTTCTCTCAGCTTCAAGATGACAACAACAACAACAACAAGAAGAAGAACAGCGAAAATCTATCTTTTCTTTTTTACTTCAACACATGGAAGATTATAGGCAGACCAAGTTCTCTCTGCAACTTTCCCGGAGAAAAAGAAGTTCAATACTTTCTCGTTAGTTTCCTTGCACAGTGGTGTGTATTATCTAATTTGTATCTTGATTTAGGTTAAAAAAAAATGTATGGTTGTAAATATTGGATACACATACATGGTTTGTATCTACAAACATAGATACTAGGTTCAAAGGAGAGATACTCTCTTGTTAAATAAATCTGACTTTCAATAATATTTTCAGTTTCTTCTCTTTCAGATTCATTCCCCAAGAACACTAGCTATAACGTTTCTCGAAGCAAAATCAACCTGTTATGATCAAACCTAACCAGAAGTAGCTAATCTCTCTCTTGTCTCTCTCGCTCTAAGCTTTCTTCTATTCATCCCAAAACGAATATCCATGTCCTCTCACAACCCGTCTCACCTCAGGCTGCTGAAGAAAGTTCCCTTCTCTTTCAGGTTTCTTCACAATACCTTCTTTATCAACATCCGACACATTCCCTTTGGAATCTATCCTACGCTGCTCTGCATACTGTTTTCCTGCAAACCAGCTTTGAATCATGTCTTCAACCTTCTCATTTGGTCTCATACCTTTTTCCTTCATCTCTTTATAGTACCCATGCGCTTCTTCTATCTTGCCATTCAAGAACAGCCCATGTATCATTACAATGTATGAGCTAAGGTCCGGACCAACGCCTTGTTCCTTCATCTCATCCCACAACAGCAACACATTATCGAAATCACGCCACCTACAAAACTTACGGATCAACATTATATATGTATCCACGGTTGGTTCACAGCCCATCTTTCTCATTTTAGCTAAAAGCTCAAAAACCTCTTCCCCTGTTCTTAAAATCCGCATAAACGCATGGTATGTGCGGATTGTTGGGAAGATTCCTTTCTCCAGCATCTCCTCAAAAACCTGCTTAGCCTCTTCAGTTTTTCTAGCTTTGCACAGAGGTTTGATGAGAGAGTTATAAGTTACAATATTTGGCTTCATCCCTTTCTCCTTCTCGATTGACTTCATCAAACTCATCGCCTCAGGGACAAACCTGGCTTTGGCAAGTGCATGCACGACAGCATTGTAAGCTTTTCTATCTGGCTCTATACACTCCTTCTTCATCCGTTCGAAAAGTCTAAGAACCTTGTTCAAGTTACCTCCTTTCGAATAGCAAGATATCAAGCTCGAATAAGACACAACATCGTGCTTGACTCCAACATTTCCCATCTCCATCCAGACTCTTTCAGCCTCTCGCGGGCTACCGACCACATTACACCACCCATTGAGAACTATGTTGAAACTTTTGGCGTCAAACGGATACGTATCCTTGTTGCAGAAGATCAAGTGCTCAGCATCTTGAACGTTCTTATATCTACAAAGAGCAGAAAGCAAACTCTGAAAATCATCGATTCCCATCTCAAGTTTGAATCTTTTGTACGCGTGGAACGTGTTTATCGCTTTCCCAACATCATGAACCGCACAATACTTCCTGATCATGATCAAAAGCGTCTGTGAGTTCACAAGAGAAGGGCTAAACTTTCTCATCTCATCAATCAGTGTCCAAGCCGTATCAAACTTCCTCATTTTACCTAGAATCGAGATCATAGAGTGATACTCACGAACCGAACGGACATAACCTTGCTGCTTCCCTGCCCAAACAAAGAAAGTGAAAGCAGTCTCCCAATCGTTACGAGCTAGAGAAAGAATCTCCACCACCAATTCATTTGATGGCTTCACATCACATTGCTCGAGCTTGTCTCTAAACTCCTTCCGGTTACTCCCAAAATCTTTCAAAAGCTTCGAAATCGTCCCAACATCCTCTGAAACAACCTCATTATCTACACTACAACCAAGATCGAGGTCAATCTCTTCATCATTTTCATCATCATCCTTCTCATCGTTCCTCTGATTAAATCCCGCTAGCTCCGGACCAAATTTGGATGTAGAGAACATAGAACAGAGACCCAAAGGAAGCAGACGAGCTACGGGAGGATCCAAATACGGTCGAGCAATACATTTATTGCTCGAGTAAGGCAAAACAGTAAAAGATCTCGAACAGGTAACTGCAGGAGCTCTAAAAGTTGAAAGCTTTGATCTAATAATAAAGATTCCTCTCATTCCGAGAAACTAACCACCCAAAGAAGAACAGTAACTGGAACAGTGAAATGGAATCACAAGTCTCTTCTGTGAGTCTAAAGACCACGATTTTCGATACCCAACAGATGATTTATGATGTTATAAGCTAACGAAATGACAACATACAGATTATCGAATCCGACAAGTTATTATGAGCTCGAAGAACATCACCGCTTAAAAGCTGAAGAGACTGTAAAAGAAGAATCAGGGATGAGTGAAGATAGGCGCGTGGAATAAACCTGAGGTTACTCACACTTGGGCCTTTATATTCTTCGGCCTATTTACTTTATTTGACTCATTTATCTTCTTTTGTAAGCCCATTCAGAATTTTTTTTTTTTTTTTAAGTGTATCTTGTTCTTTTCTTTTTGTATAAAATTATTTATCTGTTACCAGTCCAATTGCTCTTTTTGTTGTCAAATAGGGTCGCGATTAATCACTAACAAAAAGTTCAAAACAATATCGTACCCTTTAAAACAAAGAACCAATTTTTTTTTTGTTTGAGAAAGGGTTAAGAGCCAAGCATATTAAACTTTAAGATTGACAATACTTCAAATAATGATATGAGTATTTGACTATTTTCGAATAAACTTAAAATTGATTACTGTTCGGTTAAACAAAAACAAAACAAAAAATCTACGGGAAATTTTTCAGACAGAGAAACTGTGTTTACTGATTTCGTTTAATAGTAGAAAAGAAATATTACTAATGCCTTTCATTTCTACTATAATATAATGGCAAAAAGCCTTGTGTTACAAGAAAACGAATCTTATGATCTAATACGTAGCGTCACCGAAATTACGGATGCAAGCAGCTTTAACGAGAAAGCCAATGTAGGGTTTTCGGGGAAAATAATCGGCAAACAATCATCGGCGGGCGAGGCCAATAATGGCGTCACAACATTTCTTATCCAAACCTTTAAAGTCTCCCTTTGTTGCTTTTTCTATGGCATTCACACAACCCTTAACGTTCCTAATTGCTAACAAGCACTTCACGGGACCAATAATCGACTTAGCAAAGACATGGTTATTGTTAAAAAGAATAACGCAGCTTTAATCTGTTTCATTTCCATTTCTACTAGATTAAAAAACAAAAAAAAATAATAATATGGATTCTTGTAGATTTTGTTGTGTGTCTCAGGAGTGGTGGAGTAAAGGTTTTTAATTAATTAGGCTTCTTATAATAAGATGGATTTTGAGTCTTTTGACTAAACATGGGAATTTTGGTAATTTGATTATTTTTACTAGATTTACAAATTTGAATTTTGACCATGTTTGAATCACTTGACCATTTGTATTTTTCCTATTACAAAAATTGAATAAAAATAGTCACTATCATGAATGTGTTGACTATTCAAAGTGTTCACTTAATGGAAATGAATATGGTTATTTTGAAATGAGATGGTTAGACTTTGGTCCAATGCATCAATGGACCTACACATGTCTTCCAGGTAGAGAATTTATGCAAAGATTTCAAATAGTGGACTATGAAGTTTCGATTTTTACACATGTTTTACGACATTCAAATGAAGTAGCTTATATTATTTAACGAAACATGGTCCTTTGAACTCTCTTTTCTATTCAACTTGTGTAGTTTATTTAACTCCTTCGATGCACAATGACTTTGTATCTTGTCAATTGATATAATATAATACCATTTGTCCGAAAAAGAGAGTAATTACCATGAATGTGTTGACTACTATTATGAAGTTCTCGAGGAAAACACACAACGGCGCACAGTATTATTAATTTTTTGTGTGAACCTACATCATGGTTGTTTATTTAAATTTTTACGGTGGAGACTAAATTTTGTGATCAGAATTGGTCGTCTAGGGCAATTTTTTTTGTGAGTTCTTGTATTGTTTTCTTGTTGATATTTTTTTGAGTTTCTAATTGTTTTCTGTTTTGAAGAATATTAATTATTTGGAGCTTGAGTTTGATATGTTACGTGAGACGACCGATATATGTAGCAGCCAACGGCCTCTATATAACTCATAAGATCAAGAAAACTAAACAGCTTATTTATTATTTATTATATTATTAAGTTCCATTAGAAGAAAAAAAGGCACACACAATTGTAGAGTGCCTTGCGTTAAAAGAGAACAATTCTCTGATCTAATAATTAATTAACATCAGCGGATTGACCTCTACAGTGGCGTTTAACGAAATACGCAGCAAAGGGTTTTTGTGGGAAAATAATTGGGAAACAATCTCCGGGGAGGCCATTGATTGCGTGACAACAATCCTTCCCCAAACCTTTGAAGTCTCCATACTTGACTCTTTCTAGGGCCTCAGGACAACCTTTAACGCTCTTTATCGGCGCAAAGCAAGCTTCGGGACTTGGCACTGGCGACTGAGCTTCGGATTGATGACGACAAGCCAAAGCCATGATCACAGATAAAATCAAGAACATCACTTTCACCTGTTTCGTTTCCATTTTTTCTTCTGGATTTTGTTTTCTTTAATTAGGTTTTCTTTTGAATCTTGTTGTGTGTCTGATGAGAAATGGAAAAAGGGTTCTTATAGAAAACAGTGTTTTGGAATATACATGAGAATTTTGGTAATTTCTTACTCGCTATGACCATGTAGAGATTGTATATAAGATTAGCTAAATATTTATTATGTTCAATACTACTTATTTTAGTTATATATATTCAAAGGCTCATTTTATAGAAATCGCATAATTAAAGTTTGACCTTCATAAATACATTGAAATATTTAATGGAAATGTACAAAAAGAAGTTAAATTTTTTTAAAATTTGGTGTAGTAGAATTGAATTTGATAAATTCTCTAAATACTTAACTGTTCCCAATTAGTATTTAAGGATTAATTCACGCAACCACTAAATAGGTTTGCCCTTTAATCCCCGGATGATAACTCTTTCTTGATCATCTTCGAGATATCTGATATCTGAAAACAACAAAACAAAAGACCCAAAGAAAATGCAGATTTTCTAGACAGAGAGATTACTTGTGAAACAATCAACTTTGAAACAAAAGAGAGGTTAACTTACATCTGAGTGATTGCTGAGAAGCAATGGATGTTGATGAAATGTCCAAAGTGTTTTCTGGAGAAGCTTCACAAGCGAATCTACTTGATCCCCAAGAAGATCAACCTGCCATTTTTTTTTTGTTTTTGGTTTCTTATGATCAAAGCCGAAACTGTTCATAAAGTTTCTCATAATTATGAAATCACAAACTGGTGTACCTCAGTTTCTGCCTTTCTGAGATTCTCAGACCTAAGAAGGAAAGCTTTTCTATAAACTGATTCTTTTCGTCTTAACTCCACAATGCAATCCATTATTGAGTGGATTTTTATCTCTAAATCTTGTAACCTCCAGAAATAAACAAAACAAAAAATCATCAAGATTCAATATACAGTATAAGGTTTGCTTTTTGTCTTTTTCTTTTAAAAAACCCTTTTTTATACTCACCTGGAAGTTACCATCTTAAACTTCTCTTGAATCTTGAAATCAAAATCATCTAAAACTAGAGAAGTTTGCAAGCAAGCTCTGTTTCCTTCTTCCTTAATCATCCTTTTATTGTTTGCTTCAATTCTTTCATGAGTCTCTATAGTCTCTGAAGCTTCTCTTAGCAGCTCTGTAACAATTATCCAATCCAGTTCTTGTCTGAATTCGTCATCTTCATGCAGAATCTCAGAATCGTTCTCCTTTTTCAAATTCTCTAAACAACTCATACATTTAAACCCGAATTCCATCTTTTCACCCTCGATTTCTTCTTCTTCTTCTTCTTCTTGTTCTTCTTTCTCTTCACTGTTTGTGATGTTATCTGCTAATAGACCTTTGAGAAGAGTCAAGTAAGTATCTTCCAAGATCATAAATCTCATCTCCGCATCTTCTTTCACTTTCTCCTCTATCACATTGTCTGAATACACCGATCTATTATTTTGCATTTTCATCCAAACATCATCCAAACTTTCATCCATGATCACCACTTCATGATCATAATTATCATCATCATCAAACACATGTTCGAATAGCTTAGTGTTAAGACTCATCAAGCTATCAAGACCTGTAAAGATATCATCAATACCTCGCTTCGAGCTAGAGATGTTGCTGCTCCTCTGTCGCTTAACAGACTCGATTTTGGGAGGAACAAGCTCTTCGCTTTTCCTCCTAATTATTGATTCATGGCTCTTAATCAACTTCGAAACAGGATAATTGCTTGAATCTTCTTCTTCTTTTTCATTTTCTTCTTCTTCTTTATCAACATCATCATGAGCAATGTCACAATCTAATGAAGATGATGATGTTGTTGCTGCTGTTGCTACACATGATCTAGGAGATGATCTGTGTACGATGATCTGATCAATCTGAGATTCTAAACACTCTACCTCCCTACGAATCGAACAAACCTGATCTTTAAAACCCGATTCATAATCTCTCACAACCATCATTACCCTCTTCTTCTTCTCCTCTAAACCATTCATGAAACCTTTTATCAGTAACGCCATTGAATCTCTCTCTATCGACCATCTCCAACTCTGCTCCATCGGACCCAATTCTGACAAGAAAATCGCGTGATGCATCTTGTTGAAAGCAAGATCCATTGTCCCTTTCAAAACATCAATATCAACCCCTGAAGGATCCTCTGTTCCCAGTTCATTATACTCTGTCTCAAGCTTTTGTCTGAGATTCATCACTTGTTGATCAACGGAGCTTTTCAGCTCTGAAAACTCATCTTCTTTGATAAACCCCCCAATCTTATCATGACTTCTATTCCTCTCAAGATCTTGCAAATGAACCAACTCTGTTTCTTTACTCTCCAACACGTTTCTCAGGCTCTCTTCGTTCTCAGACCTCTCTAACAACTCCCTGTCTTTCTCAAGTATCGCTAGCTCTGTCTCTAAGAGACGGTGGTGAAGCCTGTCTTTGATCTCTCTCAGATCGCGAACCACTTCCTCGTGGTTGCTCTCGAGTTTATCGGTCTCTTGTTTCACGAAACTTAGACAGCTCTCGAGCTGTAACACAGCGAGCTCGTAGAAAATGGATATGGCGTTGAGACGGAGGAGAAGACCGTGTTTGGTATTGATCTTTTCATGTGCTTTGTCCATTGCTTGTTGTACAAGTAACATTATCGTCGAATCCGCCATTGAAAACTTCACTTTACCTTCCACTTCCTTCATTATATCTTTCATTTTCTATTCAATGGCAATCCCAAAGATATTAATTAAACTCATAAAAATCTCATCTTTTCAGTTAACAATAATAACATCTCTTTCAGAATTTTGGGGGTTTTAGTTTTTGACCTATTCTTTCTCGAGGATCTTGAATACGAAATTCTTGGAGCTTTTTTTGTTGTGTTACTGATAGAAAATTTTGAAATTCGATTTAATCAAATTATATATGGAAAAGTAAAAGCCTTTGGACATTTTAGCCGGGGATTTCAGATCGTTTCTGAATCCAATCCAAAATATCACCGAAAACCAAATCGACGTCGCTCTCCGACTCACCAATCAGCTGGTGCCACATCCCTTGATAGATCTTAATCGTCTTGTCTCTGCTATTGCATCTCCGGTAAAGCTCCTCGACGGAGGAAGGATCGCAGACGACGTCATCTCCGCCGTGTACGATCATCAACGGAACCTCGACCTCTTCGAATCTGCTCTGAAGATCCTCGCAGACACGCACGAGCTCGTAAGCCGTGGCGGCGCGAGGTCTACCGACGGTTCTGTTAGGGTTAGAGAAGGCGAGCTTACGTTTCCACGGCTCTTTAAAAGAGACGCCGGCGATGGAGCCGCGAGTGGGAACGACGCGCCAGGTGGGGATGAGAGTGGCGGCTAGGGTTAAGAGGTGTTGTAACGGCCAAGGAGGTTTGAATTTGTGGCTGATGGAGCACATGGCACCGCTTAGGATGAGACCGTTCCAGTGAGATTTCTGGCGGAGGGTAATGTAGAGAGCTATTGCGCCGCCGAGAGATTCGGCGTAGAGGAAGGAAGGGAGGGAAGAGGAGGAAGAGTGACGGTTACGGAAGTCGTCGAAGAAGGAGATGCAGTCGTCGACGATGAGGTTGATGTTAGGGATGTGAGCGGTTAAGCCGTCGGAGAAGCCGTGGCCTTGGTGGTCGATGGCGCAGGTGAGGAATCCTGATTTGGCGAAGAGGACGGAGGTTAGTTGGAGGAACCAGCTGGATTCGCCGGTGAAGCCGTGGACGACGGCGATGAGGCCCAGTGGTGGTCGGTTGAGTGGGGTCCACCATTGGGTGAAGAGTTTGAGGCCGGTTGGGTTGGTGACGTAGGCGGAGGAGTGGGTGACGGAGTGGCGGGAGTAGAATTCGGCGGCGGAGAGAGAGCCGAATGGGCTCGAGGTGTTAGCCTCTGAGACTGGGTGGAGTCCCATACTGTATTTTTTTTTTATAAATTCGTATATTTGAAGTAACACATAAAACAGTGTTAAAAAGGACAATTCCAGAAATAAAAACAGAGGCCAATGCTTCTTGTGTGACAAACTAACTACTGCTGTTTTTTCGATTTCGTGTTCTTAATATTTTCTTCTTTTCTTTTTTGTCTTTTCTCAAGTTCTACCTATTTTCCCACACCTACTTTCTAAGTTCAGTCCAACCAGATGGAATTAAGAAACCAACCTCAAAACCGATAACATTTTGCTGAATGTCATAATCGGAGTTGACTCATACAAATTATACAAAAAGAATCAAGCTTTTTTTATACAGTTTTTGAAAATATTCTTTCTATACTCCAAATTTGAGCTTAAAAAGTAATAAACAGTTCCGTGTTAAATTAAATTTACTTTGATTAATTGTTGTTATTCTTCTGATCTCAAACCCGATTGATCATACTTGCCCTAGAATGAGATAGATATTCTAAAGGTGTAATTATCATTAAGGGGTTGGTGAAATGAGTACACGTGAGAGATTCGAATATGTAGTCTACACCTACTTGAAGAACAACAGTATAAACAGTCAATTAAATTATTAATTATAACAAATTAATGAATAAGGTTATAGCAATGATACACAAATAGCAATACGATCTATTTGAAGACGCTTATCTAGGTAGACGTCTCCTTACGCAGTATATAGCATAATGAAGATGCATATATAAGCACAAAATTTCGGATTAATATCCCAAAACTAATCCTGCTGGTTGAATAACCTTTAACAGATCTATATTCCCACTGAAAGCAAAAACTACTCTATAAACCACTTTTTCTACTCTAGTGATCCTTATTTCCTATGTTCGTAAACTTTGTTTTGTTTAGCTAACACTATCTGAACAATTAAACCTAATTTGAAGAACTCAAAGAGGTAGAAAATTGCAGGGGCATTGACTGATTACAACTTAACACTTAGATTAAAGAAATCAAAATGGGAGGGAAGAGGAGAAGAATATACATTGGTGATTTTTGTTTTGTCTCCTTTTCTGATTCTTTGATTTTACAGTAACCCAACAACACAGCTGAGATGTAATCTATTCTCCAAACCTCTTAAATGATGTCCCAATAGCATGCACCTGAAATGAAATAGACCATCGATAAGATTAACAACAAGCTCTGTTTTGATTTATGTATAAAAATCGGTAAGAGAAGTTAGAGTTACCAGAAAAGGAGCTTTGCAAGATAATCCCTGGAAGCGTCTACTTTTCTCCCAGTTCCATCACCACCTTCTGTAACCCTTATGACAGAGTCTTGCATGAACGCTGAAGTAGTCTGGTCTTCGAAGATCCTCTGTATAACGTTTTGGACAAGTTGGCTCACGATTTCTTCCACTTCTGGTGAAGATAGTTGAGATAACTCCGTCACCTGTCAGTATGATTGTAATCGTCAGACATATATCTTGGGACTGAGAATGAGAACAAAACAAACCTCAACGCTTAGTACCATTTCAGGATCTAGGGAACGCAAATACTCCAACAAATCGTTCTTGTTTCCTTTCTCACATTCTATCTGTAAAGCTTTCTTCTTTTGTGAATCTAGCTCCTGAAATATAGATTAGGAACCAAACAAGTATTAGAGCTTAAAAGTATCAAACCAATGATCAACCATCTTTCATGGAAACAGAATCAGACTTGACCAATGTACACAAGGATGGTTAGAGACAAAGAACTTCACAAGCCCTCAGTGCTATTTCGATTACGGACATTACTTCGACTAGAGCCAATATTCCACTAAATTTCTTAAAAACTATACTAATCACAGCTTTGATATTTCAGGAAACGAAAAGTGAGAAACATAAACACGACTTTGACATTACCTCTTTCATGCTAGATAACTCAGACTGCAAATGCTGAATATAACTCAACGCTTCCGGTGATAAGTCTCCGAACACCTGAGGACTCATACTCTCTAACTCCTCAACACAATTCCCTAAACCCTCACTCACTCCCTTCTCTGATCCAAATCTGACATTATCTTCCGAAGATTGATCCTCCTCCTTTCTAGGATCAATCGGTATATCGAAGTTCCTCGTCAGTGATACACGATACTCTGCATTCCACAACGTATACCTAAAACCACGACACGAAAAACACCAAACAGATGAAGCAAATCGCTAAATTCGCAGTACACGAACAGAGATCAACAAAATTCCCAGTGTTTCAGACGAGGATAGTGAGATAGAGAGATCAAAAATCAGGATGGTTTACCCGGTGATGATGGAAGAAATAAGGAGGCGATACAAAGGCTGCTCGGAGATGGTGACGGAGACGGAGAACTGATCTGAAGGAAGGAGTCCGAGCATAGACGATATCGTCTGCTTCATCGAATCCTTGGCCGAATCGGATAAGCTTTTGGAGATGACGGAGGTATCAAGAGGCTGGATCCGATTCACCAAATTCGCGATCACAGCGAAACCTCGGTCCAGCTTCGAGCGACGAGTAGATACGTATGAATCGTCGGAGGAAACTCCGCCTCCGCTGAGACAGCTAATTACAGCAGAAGACACCGCACGGTTCGGAGCTCGCGGTAACCGGCGAGGAGAAGACGGTGGCGGTTGGTGAAGGATTAGCTTCTTCCGTGACACGTCCGTTACACGAAAGAGCATGAAGGCTCGAGCTGATGTGGCCGCCATTAAATTAGCGTCTCGAGCTCTCCCCTCTCTTTTCTCTCTCCGCTGTGTGGCTGCGTGATATGCGTTGGCTATCGAAGAATCTTTTTGTTTTTAAATGTTTCCTTAATATTCATATAGAGATTTTTTTTTTAGATAATTACAATTTTTTTTAATTTTTTTGTTTTGTTTACATGAAAAAATATAAGAAAAATCTCCCTTCGTTCGTTTATAATGAGCCCACTAAACTAGATTTTGGTCTTTTGTCGTGTTTGGTCGACTAATGGAAAGTTGGAAACTCATCCTTTTTCGGGTTAATAATGAAATTGACACTTTACAGAAATTTTCTACTGCGAGTGTAGTAAATAAGTGATGTAAAAACTAAACCGATTTTGATTTCAGATTGTTTAAAGCAGAACAAACTGCATTAAAAAATCGAAACATGCCAAACTACAAAATAATTGATTAATGTTTTTGAGCTTTTTCAAAATTTCTTTCAACAGAGATAATTTTAATTCACGGTGGTTGCAAAACTGATATCGTTTCGAAAACTGGATTGGGCGCTTATGGTTTTGACTTGGAACAATGAGAAGCGCTAGAAAATTAATCGATTAGCTGCTTTAAGTTATTTTGATTTTCTTCTACAAAGATCACAACATAAAGCTCTGATCTGCGAGTAATGTTCTCTGTTGTACGAGTAATTCTGTAACTGAGCCGAAACAGCAGCAAAATTTGGCATCCATCAAATAGTTGTAGTAACGCCGCAAGAAAAATCTACCTGGTTAAGTCATTTCCGATCAAACTCTGCATGCCATGACCTCCATGTCTCTGTGTAGTGCCCAAGCAGACCAATTAACTCTGTTCATGAAAGATTTGACTTGTAATAAATCCCCACAGATGATAAGTGTAAAGAAAAAAAAAATATACGCTCAAACTCAAGAATCTCCCAGGTAGCAGAATTTTGACATATTATAAGTGGAGAAGAATGGTGTTTTCAGTTTATACCATGATTGCAATACTGTAGCTTGTGGGTAGAAGAAAGGGTCTCAAGATCTTCAAGTCTTTGGTTATGGTTGTTTTCTACATTGTTCTTCTTAGAAGCACCTCCGGTTCCGACCACAAAGCTCTTCTCTGCTGGTTTCGAATCACATTGTTCTTGCTTGATGACACTGCATGTGTTTTGATTTCCGTAATGCTTGGAGTCTTTAGAACAATCTGTTTTGTTTCTCTTTGCGTTAAAGTTTGTGATCTCGGTCCCGAATACCCGCTTTTTAGGCTCATTACGATCACATAGGGTTGCAGGGGCAGTAAGGAATCTGCTTTCGGATATGGCTTTGGCTCCCAACCACCTATACGCCGGTTTCCTAGTCTCTGGGATATGAGTCTGCAAGTATTGTATGAAAATGAAAACAAAAAAAAGAGATGATGAGAGATTGGAATATCCAAGATCGGACATATTGTATTGGCTTAGGAACAAACTCCTATAGTATTTGGTACCTTTTCTATTAAATTCATCGAGGAAAACACATTTGCAATGTCGTAAAGGCGTCTAACTTTAGCTGCAGCGAGTTTACAGAAATGGGGTTTAGTTATTGCTTCTGTATGTAACAATCCGAGATCAGAAAAAATTCAAGGAACGTATTAGGATTACTTCTCATATTCATGGGATCCTGAGATACATTCAACAATGCTTTTGTAGCGCCATCAAGTGTTATCAGATCATCCTAATGTGATGGAAGCAACAAGAGAGGTGTCAATTAATTGGAAAATTGTTAAAGTTGTTTAGAGAGATGTAATATCACTTATTCACTTACATCAGAGCATAGAAAAAGCTTCACAAAGTTCTGTGCAAGAACCCAGAGAGACTTCTCCTTCTTGCTGTCTGAAAACAAAAAGAGAAAAAAGCAAAGAAAGTTAGGCTAGTTAGCTTTCAGCTGTAATCACAAACACAAATCCTCCTGGAAAAATTTACGAAAGAGAGCATTCTTATGCAAAATCACTACCAAGGACTTGCTTTCATTCCTATCAGATTCTAGATTGAAAGTACGTCTAAGGTGGTTTCAGCTGGAGTAAATAGAAAAAATACATAGAGAAATAGTCAGTCCTTGACTAAACAATGATGTTCCGACATATGACATTACCAAGTTTTGGGGATGGCGAGTTTTCTTGATCATCAGGAGTTAACTTCAAAGGTTCTTCTCTAACTTGGTCATATAAGACCTATTCAACATTGAATTCAAGGACCACGATGAGCTTGAAATTCTAAGGACAAGTAGCCAAAAGAATCAACATTACAGAGAATAGGAATATGGACTTACCATCTCTGACTTGGTCACGCATGGAATGATGCCAAACTTCTCTCGCATTCCTTCATCCTGTGAACAAAAGAGTCAAAAACTCAAAAAACCCTTCTCAAGCACACAATCCTGATGCTAGAAGGGAAAGATAAAATTGCAAATTCGTTAAGTACTTTTAGTTCACTTAGAGCACGGGGAAGTTGTCCAAAGCCTTTCCACGAATACTGATTCTTCCCTCTTCTTGCTACAAGCTGCGTGAAAACGCAACACCACAATAACTAATCAGCTCAAATCTATCAAACAGGATAACATCAGCAACATTAAATCTTACCCCAATGCTCTCCAATATATTAACCACATCATATATACGCCGGCGTTCAACTCCTGCAATTCGAGATTTCAACAAAAATTAGGCGAATAAATTAGCATCAAGCATTATTGTAACTATTGAATTCGCATAGTATTTTTTTTTCCCTCGTCTTCCTATATTCCGGTTTCTGAAAAACCAATCGAGCTTTGAGAAGACAAAATCAGGGAGGGGGAAAGAATCACCTAATTTCCCGGCGGCATCGTCGAGCCCAATCAGATCAACGTCGTCTCGGTTATACAGTTTCAGGAAACTGGATTAAACAGAAACATAATTAGAGAAGAAGATAAATCCCACTAAAAACGTGAAATAGATTAAAGGAAATAAAATCTCGAGAATCGTAAATGCTTGAGAGAGAGATACAGTACTTACTTGGAGACTAAAACACCGAGAGATTTCTCCTTCCGGCTGTAAGACTGCCGACCGAGAGAATCCATTTCTTCTGTAAACAAGAAAAGATATTTCCCGAGCAAAAGTAAAATATCCGACGAGAGCGAGAGAGAAAGAGAGAGAAGAGGGAGAGAGAGGGGTGTGTTTGGATATGGGCTTTGTTGTGACCTCGGAAACCAAATTGTGTTAGGCGGGGGCTTTTCAAATTATACTATTGCCCGGTTATATGCCACTGTGTTTTGAAGGTTGAATTTTGCTTGTTTTTACTTTTTTACTTACGATGATTTCCCGCGATACATATATTTAGATAACTTTCAAGTTATTTTGTAAAGCCTGTGTTTGGGAAATCCTCACAGATCATTGGTTTCTATTGCTCGAGAGAAAAAAAAAACCTCCAAAAATTAAAGTGGCATGGTTTTTAATCAAGTACCTTTCTTAGATTTTGAAAACGAATTGTAATCTATGATATCTATCACCTTTCATGGTGAAACATCCTTCCTAAATCCTAATATGGTGAGATTAAATTGTTAAACTATGAACTAACGCATGCATAGTTATGAGATTAAACATCCTTCTTGATTAGTCAATTTATGGAATTCACAATTTTACTCACGCATGCATAGATATGAGAACCGCACACCGGCTGCTTTCCCGCCGTCTAAATGACACACCATTCAAGTCATTTATAAGTAAAAAAAAAATGTAGAGCTCATGCGTGAAAAGACAATAATACCACTGACGATTACTCAAAATTAAAGTAAAACCCAACACCAATCCAGAAGAAAAGTCCATCGAATCTGAAAAAGATCGTCCACTTGAAGAAGAAAAAAAATCAGAGCCGGAAGAATAAAAAAAAAAGTTCAGGCAAAAAACGACGTAGTTCAGTGTCTAGAGTAGGAAAAGACTTTGGAATTCCCGAGGAGGAGACAGAGACATGCCCTTCTCCTCCTACATCGGCAACACCCGCCGTGCTTCCGGCGGCGGCGGAGGTGGTTGGGGCCAATCGCTTCTCCCGACTGCCTTATCGAAGTCGAAATTAGCGATCAATCGGAAACCTCGAAAACGCACGCTTCTTATCAATTTCTTCTTTGCCAACTTCTTCGTCATCGCTCTCGTCATCTCGCTCCTCTTCTTCTTCCTTACGCTCTTCCACTTCGGCGTGCCAGGACCGATCTCCTCCCGGTTCCTTGGCTCCAGATCCAACCGGATCGTGAAGCCGCGAAAGAACATTAACCGGCGACCTGTGAACGATTCCGCATCCGGCGCCGTCGTGGATATCACTACTAAGGATCTGTACGATAGGATTGAGTTTCTGGATGTAGACGGTGGTCCGTGGAAGCAGGGTTGGCAAGTGACGTACAAAGGCGATGAGTGGGAGAAGGAGAAGCTGAAAATCATCGTAGTGCCTCACTCGCATAACGATCCTGGATGGAAGCTGACGGTGGAAGAGTACTACCAAAGGCAGTCGAGGCATATTCTCGACACGATCGTTGAGACTTTATCCAAGGTGACGAAATTCTTCGATGTTTGCTTTTGGGTTTGATTTCTCATCATGATTTCTCCGTGAACAATAATCTCAGTGCCCGAAATTTCTAGTGACGTCACTAGACTCTAAAGCGTGAATCGCATTGAAATTTTAACCAGCTGCTTTTCTGGGTTCCTTTTTTTTTTTTTTTTCTTTTTTGCGTTCGTGTTGAAACCGATTTCTTAACCTTGTTTTTTCTGCATATGCATTTTGTATCACATCTAGCTAGAATCTGATCTGTGTGGGGTTTGTTTTTTTTTGGCTTTTTAATCTGTGTAATAGGATTCTAGAAGAAAGTTTATATGGGAAGAGATGTCATATCTGGAGAGATGGTGGAGAGACGCTTCACCCAATAAACAAGAAGCTTTGAGTAACTTGATCAAGAATGGGCAGCTAGAAATCGTTGGAGGTGGCTGGGTTATGAATGATGAGGTATGTTTCTAACATGTTTGATTAAAAAAAAATGGGTTGTTTAGTCACATGCCATTCTTAGGCTGATAGCGAGTGTTCTGGTTGATATGAGCTAAGTTTCTTCTTTTATGTTCTGTGCAGGCTAATTCACATTACTTTGCTATTATTGAACAGGTATATCCTGCAACTCTCGACTTTGCAATCTATGCACTTAATTTCTCTACTTTGTTTTTAGAAATTTGACTTTGATTGAAACAAAGATGATGATTACTGTTTGTTTTAGAAATTTGACGATGACAATGATTACTGCGTTTACACTTAATGTTTCGGTTTCTGTGCTGGCCATTTTTTTTTTTTATTTCTTATGTCAGATTTGGTCAGTTATAGCTCAGCATTACCTAATACCTCCTTTGAGCTGAAACCCCTCTTTTTTAGTTGTGTAAATAAGAGCATATGGTGTTAGAATATCGATTCGCTAGAGAATCAAAAGCTAGGTAACTTGCCTCCTGTTGCATTGTGTTCCTATCATATGTTTTTTCCTTTTTGGGTAAACATTCTTGCAGGAGTTATTCCAGGCTTTTCTGAGTGTAAATCATTTTTTTTATATACTGGGGACCCTTGTATCTGATTTTGTACTTGATCATTTCTTCTGCAGATCGCAGAAGGTAATATGTGGCTGAATGACACAATTGGGGTTATTCCTAAGAATTCTTGGGCCATAGACCCATTTGGCTACTCATCAACCATGGCTTACCTCCTTCGTCGTATGGGTTTCGAAAACATGCTTATTCAGAGGACTCATTATGAGCTTAAGAAAGACCTTGCCCTGCATAAGAATCTGGAATATATTTGGCGTCAGAGTTGGGATGCTATGGAAACAACTGATATTTTTGTTCATATGATGCCTTTTTATTCATACGATATCCCACACACTTGTGGGCCAGAGCCTGCGATTTGCTGTCAGTTTGATTTTGCTCGGATGCGGGGATTTAAATATGAACTTTGTCCATGGGGAAAGCACCCAGTGGAGACCACACAAGAAAATGTACAGGAGAGGGCACTAAAGCTTCTGGATCAATACAGGAAAAAATCCACCCTTTATCGAACAAATACCCTTCTTATACCTCTGGGAGATGATTTTCGGTTCATCAGTATTGATGAAGCCGAGGCTCAGTTCCGTAACTACCAGCTTTTGTTTGATCACATCAACTCTAATCCTAGTCTAAATGCAGAGGCAAAGTTCGGTACTTTGGAGGATTATTTCAGAACACTCCGAGAAGAAGCGGACAGAGTAAATTACTCTCTTCCTGGTGAGGTTGGCTCTGGTCAGGTTGTTGGTTTCCCCTCTCTGTCAGGTGACTTCTTTACATATGCAGATCGACAACAGGACTATTGGAGTGGTTATTATGTTTCAAGGCCTTTCTTCAAAGCTGTTGATCGTGTGCTCGAGCATACCCTTCGTGGAGCTGAGATCATGATGTCATTTCTCCTAGGATATTGCCATAGAGTTCAGTGTGAGAAATTTCCGACAAGTTTTGCGTATAAGTTAACTGCTGCAAGAAGGAATCTAGCTCTTTTCCAGCACCATGATGGGGTAACTGGAACTGCCAAGGATCATGTGGTACAAGATTACGGCACCCGGATGCATACTTCATTGCAAGATCTTCAGATCTTTATGTCTAAAGCAATCGAAGCTCTTCTTAGAGTCCGCCACGAGAAAGAAAAATCTGATCAGTCCCCAGCGTTTTTCGAGGCAGAGCAAGTGAGATCCAAGTATGATGCTCGGCCGGTTCACAAACCAATTGCTGCGCGTGAAGGAAATTCGCACACAGTTATACTCTTCAACCCATCGGAACAGACGAGAGAGGAGGTAGTTACTGTCCTTGTTAACCGCGCTGAAATCTCGGTTCTAGACTCAAACTGGACTTGTGTCCCTAGCCAAATTTCTCCCGAAGTGCAGCATGACAAAACCAAACTATTCACCGGCAGACATCGCCTTTCCTGGAAAGCTTCCATTCCAGCTCTTGGTCTGACAACGTATTACATTGCAAACGGGAATGTCGAATGCGAGAAAGCTACACAGTCTAAACTCAAATACGCTTCTGAGTTCGACCCATTTCCTTGCCCCTCTCCATATTCCTGCTCAAAACTGGACAGCGACATGACTGAGATCCGAAATGAACATCAGACTCTCGTGTTTGATGTTAAGAAGGGATTACTCCAGAAGATAGCCCATAGAAACGGAACAGAGGCTGTCGTGAGAGAAGAGATTGGTATGTATTCTAGTCCAGATAGTGGAGCTTACCTGTTCAAACCAAAAGGTCAAGCGCAACCGATTGTTCAATCCGGTGGACATCTAGTCACCTCCGAGGGACTGCTGGTCCAAGAAGTCTTCTCGTACCCTAAAACCACATGGGAGAAATCGCCTATCTCGCACAGCACTCGAGTTTACACTGGAGGTAATACGCTTCAGGATCTAGTGGTTGAGATGGAATATCATGTTGAGCTTCTCGGTGAGGATTTTGATGACCAGGAATTAATTGTCCGATACAAGACTGATGTTGACAACAAGAAGGTCTTCTATTCAGATCTCAACGGTTTCCAAATGAGCAGGAGAGAAACTTATGATAAGATCCCTCTTCAAGGAAACTACTACCCGATGCCATCTCTTGCATTTATCCAAGGATCCAACGGTCAGAGATTCTCTGTGCACTCTCGCCAATCTCTCGGAGTTGCAAGCCTTAAAGATGGTTGGTTGGAGATTATGCTGGACAGACGGTTGGTCCGCGATGACGGACGTGGTCTTGGGCAAGGCGTGATGGATAACCGAGCAATGACCGTGGTTTTTCACCTTCTTGCGGAATCAAACATTTCTCAATCGGACTTTGTTTCCAACGCTAACCCGAGGAACCCATCGCTTCTCTCACACCTCGTAGGTGCGCACTTGAACTATCCGATAAACACATTCATCGCCAAGAAACCGCAAGACATATCCGTGCGTGTTCCGCAATACGGTTCCTTTGCTCCTTTAGCCAAACCGCTACCGTGTGACCTCCACATCGTGAATTTCAAGGTTCCGCGTCCATCAAAATACTCTCAGCAATTAGAAGAAGAGAATCCGAGGTTCGCTCTTATCCTCAACAGACGAGCTTGGGACTCAGCTTATTGCCATAAAGGAAGAAGAGCAAACTGCACGAGCGTGGCTAATGAACCAGTGAACTTTTCCGACATGTTCAAAGATCTTGCAGCCACAAAGGTAAAACCAACTTCATTGAATCTCTTGCAAGAAGACATGGAGATTCTCGGGTACGACGAACAAGAGCTGCCTCGAGATGGTTCAACGCCCCGGGAAGGACGTGTCTCGATCTCTCCCATGGAAATACGAGCTTATAAGCTTGAACTACGACCTCACAAGTGAAAACACGTCAAGACTGAGCGTTGACTATTGGCTGGTGCGGCCTCAGGAGGTCGTTGACTAAGAGGTTGGGCTCAGAATCGGCTTCTTGCTCAATAAGGCCGTGCGGGAAACGTTAACTGTAAGAAAAGAGAGTAGAAGCTGAAGCCTTTGTGTCCATGTAAAACTACTGTATGACCTCAGTTACATTCTTTCTTTTTTTGAAACAAGAGTGATTAACTAGTTTTACCATTTTGCCTGTGGTTAATATGTTGTTGTGTATATAACTATGTTATACACGTTTGATTGAATTGGGGTCTAAAAGACATGGTAAGTTAGGGACTAAGGAAACAAAAAAAATATTCGAACGATTTTTTTTTTTTTTTTTTTTTGCTATGAACGTTAATATATATTCGAACGAATTAAAGGAATATTGTTGACCCTATTATGAAAAATTGTAGAAAGAGTATTGTTCGTTCATGCAGAACGCTAAGTGCAAAAAGTTATGTACATGACAAGAGATGTCTAAGCCGGTTAAATCGATTCGCGTAGGAAAAATCGATCTAGAGAAAAATAAATTCAAACTGAACCGAAAAATAATCTAACAGATTTAACACATTCTTTATAAACTTTTCTATGAACTAATATACTTTTTCTAAATTAAAAAAAAAAAACAAATCAACACCGTATTAAACCGGAGTAAATAAAATTTAATTTTGTTGCTGCTTTGATGTTTCATTAAATAAACTAAAAACCAAACCGAAAACCAGAAGAGATTGATTGTTCGATCCCAGCCAAAGCAAGCCGGCTTGATTAATTCATTTTTGTTCTAAGAAGAAGATTAATTGATGTCTATATGACTATATGTAACATAAATTTTGAGGGGATTACGTCATTACATGTGATCTTATGTTTACATTAGGGCTACTATTTAATTGCGAAAACATACAAGTACGGATATCAACTCATTCGTATTAGTGTCGTCATGTCATTCGCTTGAAGTTAAATTAAACAAAGTGCACGAGTAAATTAACGAGGAACGGAAGCACATAGGTACAAAACATTCTATTGGCAAGGACCGCAAGGTTCTTTCACTTCCCTCGTATATCTCTAAAAACTATGTGTTTTTTATTCTTCTTGATTCTCTAGTTTTGTGATGTAATTGTTCCCCCATAATAATTTTTATCGATTACTTATCTAGATTCATCCATAAAAATTATTGATGAAATAAATTATATGCAAAATTAGGTTTGAGAGGTTCATTGCCACATATTGTTTTTAAAAGCAAAAGAAATAGCAAGAACAATGATGAATCAAATGCAACCGTTACAACGCTTATAAATGGACTAATTCCTAACCTTTTCTTGCGATAAGATAAATTATAATTTCATTACTTTAGCAGAAAAAACAGTTTTAGAATTAGAGTTGGAGTTAGAGTTTTCTTGAATGAAGATATCCATACATAGTTTTATAGATCGCGTTTAAACCAGACACAAACAGCATATATTCACCAACTTTTTGTTATTGTTGTGTTGAAAGATGAAATACTTAACATGAATACTTTTGTGAAATGGAAAGATGTCTATAATATAAATGAAGAATTGATTGTTGGCTTCCCAAGACCACGAAATGGTTTTATTATAGATAGTTTTTTGTGAGAAAAAGAAGATTAATTCGTAACCACAAACCCATGCATGGTCTAGAACTTGATCTAACTTTTGTTTGGTTTTAAACCCTCTATGACTTTGATGCTCTAGAATTGAATATTATCATCAAAGTAACCTAGACACAAAACACACTCACTCGTCTCTCCCATGGCCTCTAGGACAAGGAGTCAAGGAGTCACCAAATTTCCCTGTCCGAAGTTTTGCAAGAAAATAAATCAAATTTATTCATAATTATCATGAAATCATCGATATATATGATGCTTCAAATCAAAGAACATATTCTACAGTGACAATTCTTCTAACTATTAATGTCACGATTTTTCTTCGAAATAATTTTTTTTTATGAAAACCAATACATTTATCGCCTTTTATATAAATACTTTTCAAATTCACCCTTTTATTATAGTTTTATTTTTATTACCAAAAATAACTGTTAAACAAAATAGCCAGAATAATTTTAAAAAAAAAAGTAATTACGTTAGTTGCAATATTTCTTCTCTACAAATGTATACATTTTTGGTTTGGTCCCAAATCAATGGTAACTCGATCGTAAGATTGTTTGATTCTGGGTCTGAGTAGACAATAATACGGACGGAGAGATGATTTACAGTATTTATCATTACATCACCAAAAATTGCCCCCCCCCCAAAAAAGTATGAACCTTATTTATTCCATACTAAAATGTTTTTAGAAAATCCGTAAACACTATTTCACCTTATTTTGAAAATGGTAATAAAACACATTCAGAAAAGAAGGGAAAAAAATCATCAAAGAGCCACACATCAACATTACGTACAGAATACACATCGACAGTTTAATTTATAATATTTCACTTCATGATGCGTAGTACTGATACCGATTGTCCGGTGATATAACAAAAAGGAGAGGAAGTGTTACGCACGTAAGCTAATCAATTTTACATTGGTGCAAGTCGACATATTGCCACTCACTATACCTTTCTCCAAAGCCAAAACCTAAAGTGGGCTTCAATTTATCTTCCTTTTTGTTTTTGTTTTAGTTTTTTTTTTTTCTTTCTTACTTGTATAAAATAAAAAGATGTATAACTTTTTACTTTAGTTGTCCAAAATAAAAATATAACTCTTTACGTTTTAGTCTCCCCATACATGGATAATGGATTCTTGTCGTAACAGATATTAATAAATTATTCATTTTATTATCCATTGTTTATAGTAAGCAATTCGAAATAAATATATACATAGGGGGAAAAGCAAAATGTGATATATAGGCCAAAATTAGTTATTGCCAATTAATATGTTCTATTATTTTTCACGTATGTATACAGACTCCTTTTTTGCAATGCTTGTCCCAATCTCTTTTCACGTAAAGGAGTAAGAGACAAATTCCTAAAAAGAGAGAAAAATAAAGATCTGTTATTAGTTTCCACATGCAGGGTATTTTTAGAATGTCAATTTTCATAATGTTCAATATATCTCGTAAAGAAATAAAGTGTTAAGAAAAAAAGTAGTTGAGTAATTAATAGATATTTTACAAACATGATTTATACAGAAGAAACGTATATAGAATGAATTCTGTGAAATTATATTGGAAAGGTAGTTTGTTTTCTAGGAACTTAATGTTCAAAAGAAAAAAAGCTTAATAAATTAGTTTTCTGACGTTCGAGAAAATATCAAACTTCTGGTGGAGTTCCAAACAAAATAGCAGGGGTTTACATTGGATTGTATGGGATAAAATTTGTACTCCCCAAGATAGAGGCGGGTTGGGATTCAGAGACCTCCACGATTTTAATATCGCCTTGCTTGCAAAACAATTGTGGAGGCTTATTCAGTTCCCCTCGTCCTTACTTGCGAGAGTCCTTCGAGGAAGATATTATAATAGATCATGCCCACTAGAAGACAGGAGAGTTTACTCACCGTCATTTGGTTGGCGTAGTATTCTTGCCACAAAAACCTTTTTAAAGCTTGGTTTGAGGAAGACTATTGGTTCGGGCCTTAATACTAGAGTCTGGAGTGAACCGTGGATCCCGGATATGCCAGCCAGACCCGCAAGAGCTTCAGTCGGGATAGGCTATCGCCACCCTCAACTCATGGTTCATACATTTATTAGACGAGATACTAAAGAGTGGAATGTTCCCCTCCTTCATGAATACTTCCAACCTGAGGATATCCCTCTTATCCTTGGGTTGAGACCTAGTCGTAATTTTTCCCTTGATGGGTATGCATGGAATCACATAAAATCAGGAACTTATACGGTGAAATCCGAATATGATTTAATCCGAGAGTTTAACTTACGTGGGAACCCGGAGGAGGCGATAGAACCAAGTATCACTTGCCTCCAAAGTCACATTTGGAAAGTCCGCACAGCGAGGAAACTAAAACATTTCATGTGGCAAGCGCTCTCAGGATGTGTGGCAACTTGTGAAAAATTAACTTATAGACACCTTGGCAATGATAGGAGCTGCCCTAGATGTGGGGGCTCTGAGGAATCTATCAACCATCTTCTTTTTGAATGTCCCCCGGCTTTACAAGTTTGGGCTTTATCGGACTTCCCGTCCCTTCCGGGCTTTTTCCCGTGTAGTTCTATTTACCGAAATATGGACTTCCTATTTTGGAGAACAAAAGAAGTGGGTCTAGTTGAACCACATAAAGACATCTATCCTTGGATCATATGGTTCATATGGAAAGCAAGAAACGATAAACTATTTAACGGAAAAGATACTCCAGCGGTGAAAACACTCCAGTTAGCTTCACTCGAAGCAGAAAGCTGGAGGATAGCGAACCAAAGAGAATGTGAGGAAGAGACTGAGGTCCCACAGGCTCACGACAACTCTTATACCCCGCCTTTAATACCCCGAATCCCAAACTGCCAAATCGATGCTTCTTGGATCGACCATGGTTTAGTTAGTGGACTAGGGTGGAGCTATAAGGACATTATGGGACAATAGGTTTTTGGACTTCAAGGATGCCGCAAAAGTATCTCATCATTACATGCGGAGATGGATGCTCTTCTTTGGGCTATGCTATGCCTAAAAGATAAACACATTTTAACGATACAAATTGAGACAGATTGCTTGAATTTAATTGAAATGATTGAGAATCCGATCGATTGGCCGGCTTTCACTTCAGAATTAAACGCTTTCCAACATCTTCGAGAGACATTTTCTGCTTTTAACATCACTCATATACCTCGAGCTTTAAACGTCCGAGCTGATTCTCTCGCTAAAGAAGCTCGAGTACGTGGTATCATATTCTCCCATATAAGTCAGACAGAATCGGTGGAGGTGACTTTCCGGAATCATCATCCTACCGATCAAGACGTGACTTAATAGATGGGTAGTCGACAAAAAAAAAAAAAAAAAAAAAAAGAGTAAATATGATGCCTTTTTTAGATCAAACTTATGTGTATATAAATAAACGCGTGTGCACCCTCCCAAACATTAAGTACATTAATATCATCATAGAATTCTATAGCTTTATAAATATAGATCCACACACAAAGCATACCCTTACTTCCTCTTCTCTCTCTGACACACACAAAACATAACCTTACTTCTTCTTCTTCTTCTTCTTCTCCCTCTCTCTCTCTCTAGATCTATCTCGCTCTAGATTAATTAACACACACGCACAAAAGCACAAGCTTAAAGATTCTCGCTCTGATGGCTGGAGGAGAGAAAAGAAGAGGACTTAGCAAATCGTGTGCCCTTCTCATAGTGATTGCTGGGATAGAGAGATATGCATTCAAAGGAGTTGCATCAAACTTGGTGACATATCTAACTGATGTGGTAAAGATGAGCAATTCAAGAGCAGCCACGACTGTTAATACTTGGAGTGGCTTCACTTTCATGTTGCCTCTCTTCTCTGCTCCTTTCGCCGATTCTTATTGGGACAGATTCTTCACCATCCTCGCTTCTTCTTCTCTCTACTTTGTGGTAAGAATCACTATTCTACCGTTTTTTAGAATTAGTACAGTCAGAATCACGGTTCAATTCACGAAGTGTTTGCTTAATATATAAATAGGTTCGAATTTGTTCATATGACTTTTTTTTGTCGGCATTCAGATGACTTAATCAAGTGTTCCCTTTCCTTGTTTGTAATTATCTCTGGAAAAAAATATAATAGCATTATAAAAAAAATTATTTGTATTATACTTATAAATTATAGGGACCAATTGAAGTCCAATAAGCGAAGTTTTTCACTGAGACTTTCCGACTCAGATCCTAGAGTTAGAGCTGAAAGTTATTTCTTCATTGTTTGTTTATGATGTGTTATTGATCATGTGACCCTCTTCTTTGCGCACTTTTTGATGTCTATTGCTTGAAATTAAAACTGGAAACTTTAAGAGTTACTACAAAACGTTTTTCTTGAGACTTTTATTTGTCTTTTCTTTATGTGGTTTAATTTGGTACTACGCATGTGAACATTTCAATGTGTTTTCCTGCTAATTTCTTGTTCTCACCGACTATACGTTTTCTAATGTCCCTTTTTAGAGTATGAGACGTTAATGGAATTGAGCACATATTGGTAAAGTTTGGTTCCATAATGCCACTTTCGGGATCTTATCAGAAATAGTTAAGTCTAGTGTATAATCAACTATGATAATGGAACTCGAATCATTTATCACTAATCCTTATATATATTCCATTGCTAGATCTTACACTACTGAATATTAGGAAAATTTTGTTAATTTTTCTTCAGAAAAAAGGTATTTAAAAGTTTGTTTTTTTGTTATAAAGTAAAGAAAAAAGAAGTATTATAATGTTATTTCAAAAAGTAGTTAAAAGGGGAACTTAAATTTCGGAATTTGTACAGCATTTTAATTAATCATAGTTTATTTGAGTATTTAGATTTAATGAATATATCTTAATTCATATAGAAATAAATATTTGTGAAAATTATTTTAAAATTCATGTTTGTAAAGATTTTTTTCTTTTTGCTAATCATGTAAGTTGCTAATGTTTGGCATTTTGTTGGGTATTTGGAAAAGGGACTAGTGGGATTGACATATACGGCATTTGCTGGGTCACGTTCCACTACTAAAACCATCTCTCTTTACTTCCTCTACACTTCACTTTGCCTCGTCGCTCTCGGCTTAGGCGTCTTGAACCCATCTCTACAAGCCTTTGGTGCTGACCAGCTCGACCACGACCTTGACCAAGACCACGACCACGAGCCATCCTCAGAGAACAAAGAAGTCCAGTCGAACCACAAGTCTCAGTTTTTCCAATGGTGGTACTTTGGTGTCTGCGCTGGTAGCCTTCTAGGAGTCACCGTCATGTCTTATATCCAAGACACATATGGTTGGGTTCTCGGTTTTGCGATCCCAACCGGTTCGATGTTGTTGTTGATCCTCTTGTTCCTATGTGGCTGTGGGGTTTATGTCTATGGTGGTCCGGGTCAAGACCTCAAAGCTAAACCATTTCAAAGGATTTTAGAGCTAATCAAAGAAAGAGTATGTAGAAGAAGTAAGATCACTCTTGTGAATGACCACGATTTAAATGCCATGGAACTAGAGTAAGTCATCATCATTTTCTTTTTGACATTTAATTCACACTGAACCGCCATTTTGGTACAAAATACGGTTCTGTTATTGTTTCGGTTTACTTCTTTTTTTTGTTCGGTTTATGAAACTTAGGAACTGAATGAAAACCAAAAACCTTTCGGTTTAGTTTTGGTTTCAGTTTGGATCCGGTTTTCTGGCAACTATAATTGAGTCTAGAGGATAGGGTCCAAGGAAATAATCTGGTTGAATTTATTTTTCCGGTACGATTGGATTTTGGTTATGGTTTTGTTCAAATCCATATCTTGTTCGGTTTATTTCCTTTTCGGCGTGGTTAAACCGCATCAAACACCTCTAATTCTTGTTCTTGTATAATACGTATAGGTTGCAAGAGAAGCCCCTATGTAACTGTAGCAACACTGAAGCCACTACAAATACTACTAGCAAGAAGAGCTTAGCAGATGAAAAAAGCTGCAAAAGCGGTTTCTCAGGCCTCGAAACCGTCAAGCTATTGCTTCGTCTTTTGCCGATATGGATGATGCTTCTAATGTTTGCAGTCATATTCCAGCAACCCGCGACCTTTTTCACAAAGCAAGGTATGACCATGAAGAGAAACATCGGACCAAACTTCAAAATCCCACCCGCAACGCTACAAAGCACAATCACTCTATCCATAATCCTCCTCATGCCGTTATACGACAAAGTCTTGATCCCAATCGCCAAGAAAATCTTGAAAAACGAAAAGGGTATTTCCGTCATGGAAAGAATGGGAATAGGGATGTTCCTATCCATCATTGCCATTGTTATCGCCGCGTTGGTCGAAAGAAAAAGACTAAAGATAAGCAAGAAGATGAAGATTTCACCGAATTTGGACCCTTTGAGCATATTTTGGCTCCTGCCTCAATACATTCTATTGGGAATCTCGGACATTTTCACGGTTGTTGGAATGCAAGAGTTCTTCTACAGTGAGGTTCCGGTTAGAATGAGAACAATGGGGTTTGCTTTGTACACGAGCGTTTTCGGTGTGGGGAGTTTTGTGAGCGCTGCGTTGATTTCGATCATCGAGAGTTACACGAGGTCCAGAGGTGGGAAACATAACTGGTTTGCAGATGATATGTCGGAAGCTCGACTTGATAACTATTATTGGCTTTTGGCTCTCACTAGTGCTATTAGCTTTCTGATGTATTTTGTTATTTGCAAGAATTTCAAGAGTAGTAGTGATGATGCCCAATGTGATGAAAATTGTTAATACATTAAAAACAGCTCTTGTTCACAGTTAGTTCTCGATCAAACCCGATCTAAAACCTTTAACATTTTTGTTTAAGTGCGTAACATTATATATAATACAGTATGTGCAACATTGGATTTGCTCTGTTTCAACACTCTGTTACACATTTCAAAAGACGAATTGTTTTCTTCTACTACTAAACCGAAACGCATATCTCGGGTCAACAAGTAAAGCCCATTATTATCACTTATGGGCCTGGTCTATTATGATCTCGGGTCGACAAGAAAACTCAATGCTCTGTATAAAAAAGTATAGAAAATAATTAAAAATTTAGTTAGAAGGAGAAAATAATGTTAAATTTGCCCCATGTATTCATTTTTTTTTTTTAAGTTTTCCCAATTTTACTTTTCTTTGTCCTTTGTCTTTTCCTTTTTAATTTAATGAAAGTAAGTATATATTTAATCAAAAAATGAAGAGGAAAAAGAGTTTCATCATTAGGGTTTCGTAAACAAAGAGCGCATGCATGGGAAGGAGTAGGACAAAGATGGAGAAGAATCCACGAGAAACTGAAGAAAGAAGAAACTCTGACTCACTTCCTCTGGATATGCTGTTCGATATCCTCTTGAGGTTGCCGGCCAAATCCGTAGCGAGACTCGTTGGCGTATCAAAGTTATTTGCAACAATCATCCGAAGTAAAGATTTCACCAGAGCCTTCAGGCTTCGATCTTCGAAGCAGAAGCAACGTATTCTCTTAGCTTTCACTGAACTAGATAAAGAAAAGGGACGCGAGAACTGGTTCTTCTTCTCTTCTTCATTACCTACAAATGAGGAATCATCATCATCATCAACGTCGTCATCATCATTATCATCATCTTCATCATCACCGGTTTTTCTGTTTAGTATGGCTTGCCCTGCCCCGGATATTCGGTACGATCGACCTGAATGCGTACATGGGTTGGTAAGTTTTGTCTATGGTGGGGAACAAGTCATATGTAATCCAAGCACGGGAATATCCATTACCCTACCTTTAGTCAAATCAAGAAGAGTTCTCAAAAGGTATTTAGGGTATGATCCTGTTGATGGCCAATTTAAAGTATTGTGCGTGACGGAACCAATCTTTAGTACCGATATGCGAGTTGCAGCTAGTGAGTGTGTAGTGTTTACATTGGGATCATCATCATCATCATCCCATGATCAAAACTCATCATGGAGGAAGATTGAGTGCAGTAGTCCTCACCGTCCTCGATCTAACGGTGTTTGTATTAACGGAGTTTTGTATTACTATGCTAACATGGGCACGAGAACGATGGAACGTCCTAGCTTAGTGAGATTCCAAGTGAGGTCTGAAGATTTTGATTTTCTCACTAAACTGCCTACGGAGGATCAATATTGGATTAGAACTGGTCCAAGATTGATCAACTACCAAGGGAAAGTAGCCTTAGTCAATGGAATTCGAACGACATTTAGTTTGTGGGTCTTGGAGGATTTCGAGAAACAAGAATGGGTGGAAGTAACTTTATCTCTCAGTCCTTGGAGAGGAGAAATTCGGTTGCGTCCTTTAGACGTTAGAGGCACTACTCAGACGGGTGAGATAATATATGCATCGTGTGATGTAGACGACTTTTATCTTCTCCATCACGACCGTAAGATGAATGATCTTAACGTGGTTGAGATTGAACTTGAAGAAAGCTCAGAGTATGAGTTTGGACGATTTGGTGGGGTTGTTAGTTTTTTGGATTATGTAGAGAGTATTATGCTTTCATAAATACATATATAGATTTCATTTGTCTCTCTTTTCATCCTAAAATTCAAGGTATTTTTTTTTAATATATAAAGGGTTTACATTTTCAGCTCCGGATGCTTTTAATTTCCTCTTGAACCGATTTTACGGCATTTAGTTATCGTTCTTGAGAAGTTCATAAAATTCTCTCTTATTATTCACAAGACCTAAAGGTCGATATATATACATACATATGTCGGTGATAGCAAATCTAAGAGAATATACATCAAATATGTAAATACAATCTAAATGGAAATAATTCCGTATTGTTAAGATACGAAGTTTGTCGTCCAAGTCTTCGTTAATACCCCTCCTCAAGTTGGAGCATGCAAGTCTCGAATGCCCAACTTGGAAAGAAAGACAGTGAACTCCTTTCGGCCTAAAACTTTTGTGAGAATGTCCACAAGCTGGTCCTTAGTTGACACATGAGAAGTAGCCACAATTCCACGAACAATATCATCACGAATATAATGACAATCTGTTTCAACATGTTTTGTACGTTCATGAAAGACTGGATTAGCAGTGAGGTGAATTGCAGATTGATTGTCACACCGAATAGTCATAGGAGCATCATGAGAAATACCGAAGGCCTTGAGTAAAGACTTAAGCCATTTAAGCTCACGTAAAACCTCAGTCAAGACACGGTATTCAGCTTCAGTGGAGGATAAAGAAACAACGTCTTGTTTCTTTGTCTTCCAGGAGATCGGAGAATCACCAAGTTGAACGATCCACCCTGTCACAGAGCGTCGAGACAAAAGACAGTCTGCCCAATCGGAATCACACCATCCTGTCAAATGAAAAGATGATCCAGCGCGTAACAAAATGCCTTGTCCAAGGGTGCCTTTAAGATATCGTACAACATGTAATGCCGCATCCCAATGTTCAGCCCTTGGTGCATGCACGAACTGAGACAAAAGATGGATCGAATAGACAAGATCAGGTCGAGTCGCAGAAAGATACACCAAGCGGCCAACGAGACGTTTATACGAGGCAGGATTAGCAAGAAGAGGACCAGATGCCAAGGCAAGACGATGCTTCTGATCAATAGGAAAACCAGCTGGCTTACAGCCCAAGTAACCAACCTCTGTCAAGATATCGGTACAATACTTGCGTTGGCACAGATAAAACCCCTCCTTACTCCGAGCTACTTCAATCCCCAAAAAATACTTCAGAAAACCAAGATCTTTCATATGAAATCGAGTCGATAAGTATGTCTTGAATTTTCCAATAAACACAGGCGAGTTATCAGAAATAATCAAGTCATCGACGTACACAAGTACACGCAGGATCAATCCGTCCTTAGAGTAGACAAAGAGTGAATAATCCGTATGTGTTCCAACAAAACCAAAATCACGAAGTGCAGAAGTGAGTTTGGCAAACCAACATCTAGGTGCTTGTTTCAAACCATAATTGATTTCCGGAGTCGACAGACGCGAGATCCTAAATCTGATCGAAAGCCCGGAGGAAGCTTCATATAAACCTCCTCTTGTAAATCACCATGAAGAAACGCATTATTAACGTCCATTTGATGCACTTCATAGTCCTTTTTTGCTGAAATGTCGAGAAAAATACGTACCGTAGACATTTTGGCTACCGGTGCAAAAGTCTCATCGTAATCAATGCCTTCGACCTGCTTGTTGCCAAGAGCAACAAGTCGGGCTTTGTACCGTTCAATAGTACCATCATCGCGATGTTTAATCTTAAACACCCACATACAACCAATTGCCATTTTGCCAAGAGGCAAATCTACCACATCCCATGTATGATTTAGTTCTAGTGCCTGTACTTCACCACTAACCGCAGTTCTCCATCTTTCATCTGCCATGGCGTTTTTAAACGACTTTGGTTCAACCGCCACCGATAATGCCATTAAATATCTGCGGTGGTTAGGCGAAAAACGATCACAATTGTGATAAGCAGAGAGAGGATGGACCGTACCTGAGAGGGCTGATGGAGTGGTGATCGTGAGAGAGGTGGGAGAGAGAGAGACTGTATTCACTATGTGATCTTTCAGTCGTGTCGAACGCTGTTTCTGTCGATGACCACGACCCAATAGTTCCGTAGACTCTGTAGTGGAATCTTGCGGAGGTGGCTCAGAAACAGAAGCTGGTTCAGAGTCTATGGTTGGTGTTACAACCTCAGAATCAGTCGGATCAACAGGCACAGCAGTGTGTATAACAACATCATCAGAGTCGTCAAGAGAACCCATCGTCGGTGGATCAAGAGAAGAAGATATCGGTTCTGGAACATCCTTCGAGAAGAACGTCAAAAATGGAAAAACATTCTCTTGAAATACCACATCTCTTGAAACAAAAAAAACTTCTTTTTCAAGATCAAAGAGTCGCCACCCTTTCTTCCCTGGTGGATAGCCAATAAAAACACATTTTCGAGCTCGAGATGCAAATTTGTCCCCATTTGTATCCAAGTTGTGTGCATAGCACAAGCATCCGAAAACACGAAGGCGATCAAAGGCTGGAGGCCGTCCATGAAGCATTTCATATGGTGTTTTGTTGTCAAGAAGCTTCGATGGAGTTCGATTAATCAAATGACAAGCCGTAAGTGCACATTCTGACCAGTACTCGATTGGTAAACCGGATTGAAACCGTAAAGCTCGCGCGACATTCAATATATGTCGATGCTTCCGTTCGACACGTCCATTTTGTTGAGGAGTGGCGACACAAGAGGTTTCATGAACTATCCCTTGTTCACGAAAAAACTTTCCAAGACAGGTAAACTCTGTTCCATTATCACTTCGCAAAACTTTTATATTCCCATCAAACTGTCGTTTTGTAAGTGCAACAAAATCACGTATAGTAGCTGAGACTTCAAGCTTATTTGGAAGAAGATAAATCCAAACAGCTCGTGAGTAATTATCGACAATTGTTAAGAAGTATATAGATCCACATATTGCCGAAACACGGTAGGGACCTCAGAGATCGCAATGAATCAAATCAAAAGGTTTTACTGGTTTATTAAAACTGTCTGGAAAAGATTGTCTGGTTTGCTTGGAACGTAAACAAACATCACAAAGGGAAGAACAAAGCTCATTACTACTAGAAAAACCAACACCCGGAATTAAACCCACTACGCGAGGAGACGGATGACCTAAGCGTCGATGCCACAAAACTATGTCATCATCGATACTGGTATGATAAGCTTCAACCGTCTCAAGTCCTCGGAAGTGGTACAGTCCCTCACTCTCACGTTCAGCCACTCCAATCAGCGTCCTCGTCATGCGGTCATGCAAAATCACAAGTTTATCGGTTACTTGACCAACACAATAATTATCGGTTACCAATTGGCCAAAAGAAATCAAATTCGTATGGAATCCTTCCACGTAATAAACATTTTGAAGCTCTAGATGAGCTGTGAGTCGAATGGTGCCTTGCTGATCAGACAACACATTCTCGCCTGCAGGTAAACGAACCCAAACCGGAGATACAGGTCGCAAATCCTTGAGCAAGTCCAAACATCCGGTCATATGATGAGTTGCGCCTGTATCCAAAATCCAATACGGGTCATCGTTCTTACCGCTTAATCGTGTGGTCGAAGAGGTTGAATTTGGCTTGAAAAGCTTCAGAAGCGTCTGCCATTGAGCATCCGAAAAACCCGTTAAACCTTGTCTGTCTGCATCAGTGAGAGCAAGATTGGCTGCCACCGTAGGTTCACCACCAAGAACCTGAGTTGAATTAGCACGTGCAGCCACACCTTGTCCTCGACCCATCGCATTGCTGCTTCCACCTTGTCCTCCTTGAATGTTGGTGCGATTTCTTGGTCGATCGCCCCACCACTCAGGAAAGCCTATCACCCGAAAACAAGTTGATGCGATGTGTCCTGTTCGTCCACAACTCGTACAGACCACATTCGACCCAGCGTTCGATCCTCCATTGAAGTTGCGAGATCGAGAGTTCCCATTCTCTACTCCATTGTTACGCCGTGGAGCAGATGATGATGCCTGAGCTGCAAAACTCATAACCGGAGTGGCGTCTTTTTTCGCATTTATCTGCACAGTCTCGTTTTGCATGATCGTTTGATAAACGGTGTCGAGGTCAGGCAAAGGAATCTGCGCACAAATTTGAGAACGTACAGCACCATGTGTGGCATCATCAAGCCCAAAGAGAAAATCATGAACACGAATCATGTCTCTTTGCTTGTCGTGAGCTGTTGGTAAGTCACATTCACACTTGTTACAAGCACAAGTCTTCATCGGCAAGCAATCACTCATGGCGTCCCAAATCTTTGTCAAACGCCCAAAGTACTCATCGATGGAGGAGCCCATCTGTCGACAATTAGCGAGTTCGCCACGAAGTTGTTGAAATCGTGCTCCACTTTTGAGAGTAAAACGCCTCTTAATATGATCCCACAAGTCTTTAGCCAACTCCCGATGAGAGATGTTGGTACGAATTTTCGGTTCGATCGTCAATTTAATCCAAGTGACGATCAAGTGATTGTTTGCCGTCCAATCCTCAAGGTCTGGTGATCCATCGGACGGTTTCGGAATGCTTCCATCGACGAAAGCAAACTTTTTTCGAGCACTCAAAGCCAAACGTAGATTTTGAGCCCATTCATCATAGTTTTGCCCGTTGAGCAAAGGCTGAGAAATCACAGCTCCAGGATTATCTCCAGAGGTGAGGTCGTAGGAAGAAATCGTCTTCCTCGTCGTGGTCGTCGATGTCTCTGCAACAGTACCATCGTTTTTGGCCATCGCAGAAACGAGATCAAGGTCGAAAAATCAAACGATATCAACCGATCGGGAAAAAAACAACTGATTAAGAACTCAAAGTTTCAAATTCGAGAGAGAATCACTGATTAACTCTTTCGTGGCTCTGCTACCATGAGAAGTTCATAAACTAGAATTCTCTCTTATTATTCACAAGACCTAAAGGTCGATATATATATATATATATACATATGTCGGTGATAGCAAATCTAAGAGAATATACATCAAATATGTAAATACAATCTAAATGGAAATACTTCCGTATTGTTAAGATACGAAGTTTGTCGTCCAAGTCTTCGTTAATAGTTCTTGTTGTCCGGTTAGTTTAAAGCATTTACGATAACTAAATGCCGTAAAATCGGTTAAGAAGAGATGAACTTTTGAAGAAATTAAGACAGAATCGAAATTGAAGCCAAGCCAATGATTTTGGTCAATAACAGCATCAATTTTTTTTTTAATAAACAAGTGTATTTTAGGATATGTTTATATGTATAACAATGGTTTTAGTCAACTACCATGCAAGTTGTTCTTGGAATTTTAAAATTAGTGACATTAACATACGGCAGTAAATTAGTGATATTTGTAAGGCACATGCAGCGTTCGGCAAATTAAAGTAAGCTTCGTTACGGACTTGTGCCCGTTTAAGAATCCGAAACGATTTTTCCTTTCACAAAATTAATAATTTTTTTGCTAATTCTTTATATATATCTCTATCGTTGGCGGTGGAGTTTTTCTCTATGATCAAGACGTGCATCAGTATAAGAATACGGTTTCTTAGGGACTAATGTCAACTTTTAATGGCTTTTTATCCCAAAATCAATTACTAAATTGTTTTCAACAAAACATCATAGCTAGAAACACAATACGGTTTAGTCAATAGCCACCATGGAAAGGCCATCCAAGGAACAAGAAAACAACGGTGGAGTTATAAAAGGACGACACTCGGATCCAATTCCTCTAGAACTTTTGTTCGTTATCTTCTTAAGATTGCCGGCGAAATCCCTAGCGAGATGTGTCTGCGTATCAAAGCTTTAATTTGGGCATCCATAATCCGCAGTCAAGATTTCATCAAATCTTTCCAATCTCAGTTGCGTATCCTCTTCTTTGTAAGGGATTATTACCAAACAAGATTCGAGAATTGGTTCTTCTTGTCAAGCCAAGAAGGAACATCATCTATTGTTTCTCGTACCACATGTCACGTCTCTGGTTCCAGATCTAGATGTCGTCAGCCTCAAGAAGTCAATGGCTTGATATGTTGTGGATATGGTAGGAATCCAGTGATTTATAATCCCACCACAGAAAAATCTCTTACCTTACCGAGAATCTATGTTGGTCAAAACGTTGGACCATACGTGGAAAACTTTCTTGGATTCGATCCGGTCAACGAGCAATATAAGGTATTTGTCCATGACTCCATTGCCTGGTAATCATAGTGGAGATAGCATAATACCATATAGGGAACATAAAGTTTTTACATTAGGAGCTCAAGGTTCATGGAGAATGGTCGAGTGTTACACCATCCATTGTCCTGGAACTATAAGCATATGCATCAACGGGGCTGTGTATTACGGTGCTTACACAGGGGAGAGTATGAAGCATCTTATCTTAGTGAGATTTTATGTGAGGACGGAAGAGTTTGGTTTTACTGAAATGCCTGAGTCTGTCCATAGTCTAAGTTATTATACATCAACTCTAATGAACTACCATGGGAAAATAGCATTAGCATATTCAAAAGGTTACGATACATATGAATTGTGGGTTTTGGAAGATGCTAAGGAGCATGAATGGTCGAAGATATCTTTTTCTACAAGGTCGTGGATACAACCTAATGTTAAATTTAACGTTGAGGGTATCACTCCCATGGGTGAGATTATTTTAACGCCGAGGTATGGTATTGATTTCTATGTTGTCTATTACAATTTAGTGACGAAACAATTCAGAAAGATTGGGATTGAAGGATTTAAAAGTCCTGGTGGAGTAATTATTTCATGGGAGTACGTTCAAAATAGTACTATGCTTTTGTAAGAAAGAAAGAGTTTGATTGATAACTTGAAGCCAGAGTGATGTGCATTGTGAATATTGTTGTTTTTTTTTTCTCTTAAATCAAATATTTGGTGTGCTGTTTGTGGATGTTGTGTAAATTGTCCCTTTTTTGTTAATTTGTTTGCTGTATTGAAGTCAACTAAACATTTGCTTACAAGCAAACCATCAAAATATAAATGAAAGATATGGTGACTACTCACTTGAAGGTTTCCACTTTGGCTGAGTAGAAGAATGTGCCTATTTTTTTATGCTTTGAGAAAGGCAGTCTTGTGAACCTTGTGGTCATTCGTCATTGTGACGTGATTTTGACTAGCTGTGCATGCAAGTGGCTGTTTCAGCCTGAGTTCCACGCAGGCTTACCTAAATTCGAATGAGTTTTAAAAAGGGTCAGTGACGCTCTTTTAAAAAAAAAAAAATAAAAAAAATAAAAACAAGAAAAGCGATGTAAACAAATTCATAATTTACTGACCATAACTCTCATACTTCCCAGTGTTCATAAAGTTGGTAAACTCTGAAGGTGAATCACTGATCTCTTTGTACTGTTTCCACCACTTCATGAAACTGCTCTTCTCCAAGAAAATCTCCGGCGAAACCTCACGTTTTCCGATCATCTCCCACACGTATTCCTCAAACTTGACGAGTTTTGCGATCGATACCTCGTCAGTCATCCCCTCGTGTGTTTTCATCTCATTGATTACGACCAAGGCTTCCTCCACTTCAGCCCAGAAGCAAGAATCAAACGTTAAAAGATCACTCAGATCTCTATTCTCGCATCTAAAAGGTTCTATCGATGCATTTCCAAACCATTTCTCGAGCATAACATAGTGGGAAGACCTTCCTCCTTCAACTGAGGAGGTTTCCAGATACTCTGTCTTACAGTTGCGGTAATATTCAGCAATATCGAGCGGTTCAATCATTCTTCTGTAATTGTTCCCTGCGAATAGAAACCGTCTCTTGAGAATTGATATATCGCTCTGAGGCTTCTTCTTTGCATCTTCAACCACCGATGTCCAGTAACCGTTTAGCTCTTTCTTAAACGCCTCAACCTTTATATTGGCTTTGGCTTTGGTTGGAATCTGCAACCGATACTGATCGTAGTAACCGTTCTTGTCCCACCTGCTTACCTTTTTGTACCATTCTAGATACGCCATTAAGATCTTCATGTCGTTTAGTTTCTTAAACGGGTCAAAACGCACCTTCTTTTCCGCACGTTCCTTCATTCGTTTTATGAGATCATCACTCATCAATCCTGAATCCTCCATAGATAACACCGACTGGTTCAGACGATGTAGAATCTCGCCGTAGTCTTCTACTAGATCCGAGTTAACACCCTTTAGCAACTCCATGACCGCTTCAGGGTCCTCGATGCAAACACACTCGGTTTGATCATTACAGATCAAGTAGGTTCCAAAAGGCTTGAAACCCTCTGTGATGGGAGTTTGTGCAGCATCAGCCACGTGAAGGAAACATGATTTGCTCACGGAGTTCTCTAGATTCTGTCGCAGCCTGGCGTCTCCAACGAAAGGCGAGCCAAACGTGATGCACAAGGGAAATTTTTGTCCTGGCTTGACTGTTTCTAGCATCCATAGTGTAAAGAGAGATGCGACGGATCCTCCTAACCCAGCTCCGGTGATGATCACCGGTTTCTTTGATTCCAGAAACTACAAGACACAGATAGCTTTTAAGATTCATAGAGTTGTTGTTGACTTGGAAACCTTTAGTCAGAACAGAGTATCAGAAGCTATTGACTGAAATTGCAAGGAGAGATATGTTTAAGCAGAGGCACAAGACAATCATGTCTAAAGAGAGTTTATCAAAGGGCTAGTCTTTGAGTGGAGTTAAACATTACCTCTAATTTGAGTTGAGGGATAGTTTTATTGTTAACTTTTGACTCAGGATCTTGATCAGGAACAGGACTAGAAGCAGAAGTATAAGACATTTGCTCTGAGTCGATCAGCAACTACAAGACACAGATAACTTTTAGTATTCACAGAGTTGATGACTCGGAAACCCATACTAGATTAGACAGAACAGAGTATCAAAGACTAATTTCGAGCGGAATTGAAAATTACCTCTGATTTGAAATCAGGGAGATATTTATTAAAAAGCTCAAAAGCAGGTGTATGAAGAGTGAATGAGGGGGTTGTCTCGGAGCAGAGGAAGTGAAACGGATTAGGAGCTTCTGGCTCAGGACCAGGAACAGGAGTGGGAGCAGAAGCAGAAGCATAAGATCCATTTCTGCTAATCGGTGGCGCAGAGAAAACCACAAATGTAAATTTGGCTTCTTGGTAAATCTTGAATCCTCGAGAGCTTGATTTCTGTATCTCTGAGATCTTAGTCCACGAGCTGTCTAAGAGACCAGAGGTCAAAATAAGCTTCCCAAGCTCAATACCCTTTCTAAAACCACGGACAAGAAATTTAGTCAATGTCCACAGTCCTATATAGTCAATGAGCGCAAGAAGTTGAGCAAAGACTAAACAAAAATTGAAAGAGAGTAATCGTAATACTTACAGTGACGAAGAATCCATGGCCTGATCGAGTTAGAACAATATGTGGAGAAGAAAGTTCAGAGGGACAAAACTATCGAAAGCAGACAAGGATTGATGTCTCAAAAAGACTGTAGTTATATGGGCCCGTAGTTATATACATACATGAATATTTAAAATATATATAAAATATAAAACAGTATTGTACAGTCAAATGATTAATAAAAGATAATAGTTAACTGTTCCTCTCTCTTTTCCACGAAAATATCTCAAGAAGACTTGTTCCATATACGATTCACACAAGTGTGAATACAAAATTTGCATATTTAAAGATAGTAGCGTTACAGTAAGTGTCAACGCTCCCAGCCATGAGTTTATCTTTAAACCACTTGATCATATCACAAAGAAAATGTAGAATAAACTTACATGTATATATAATGTATTTGATAATTAAGTCCTCTCAAGACCTTTCGAATGATCCTCAAACACTAATATTTTGGGTGGTATCAATACCCATGTCAACCAAATCCACCTTATCCTCAAGGTGAAAGACTAATCAGTTAAAATGGTAGATGCAGTAAACTCCAATTGCGTTAGGATCAACAAACCATTCTTAGAAATAGTTTTGACAGTGATCCAAAACATCTCTGCCCGACCATTAGGCCCGAATATATGATCAGTGTTTATGACTTTATGTGTTTGAGATCATTCAGGAAGGTCTTGAGAGCAAAATATTGACGCCCATTATCATCTAACCTTTTTAATTACGCCTCTAAGTCACACGAGACACTAGATTATCTTTAGTAATATTTTGACTATTTCAATATCAATTTTAAAATTTAAGTTAGTGTCACTTGTTTATATATATATATATATATATATATATATATATATATATATATTGTGATATTTTGATGTAGTGTGTATTTATTTTTGTCTTATTCTTTTTACGGCAACTGTGTGTTTATTTTAATAAATCAAATCTCATATACAAGTTAAAGAAAATGGGAGAAGCGTCAAATGAATTCTATAATATTTCCTGTTCTAGAATTTATATATGAAAATTGATTTTTTTATAAATTTTGCAGATGTGGCTGTAGTCACAGTGAATGCTGAGATGTGTAGTTATACTTTTTGTTCGTTTTACTGTTGGTTTGTTTGCCACTTTGAAATCAGGTAGTAAATGTTTGTTTACTAATGTTACAAACACCATCAGAGAAGAGAGCAGATTCTATTTACTACCTTATTTTGCTTTTTAAAAAATATATGAATCCGCTCTACAATTCAAACTTTTGCTTTTTAAAACTTTTTTTTTTATACAAGAGAAGAGAGCAGATTCTATTTCTTTTTTTACGAAAAGAAATTGGCAGTGAAATTTCATAAAAACTAATAATTTCTTGTAAATAAAAATATTAATCAATCATCGACTCAAAATGCAGTGTAACCGTTAAATCATTCATCTTCAGGAGACCTGACCATAAGTCTCGTACATCCTAGTGTTCATAAACTCAGTGAATCCTGAAGGTGAAGACCTAAAGCCTTTGTACTCTTTCCACCACTTCATGAAACTGCTCTTCTCCAAGAAAATCTCCGGTGAAACCTCACGTTTTCTGATCATCTCCCACACGTATCCCTCAAACCTCACGAGTTTTTCCAACAACACCTCTCTCTCGTCGTCTCTCATCACCACTTGTGTTTTCAGCTCATTGATTACAATCAACGCTTCCTCAACTTCAGCCCAAAAACAAGAATCAAACGTCAAAAGATCACTCAGATCTCTACTTTCGCATCTAACCGGTTCTATCATTTCCGCCTTGAACCACTTCTCGAGCATAACATAGTGACGAGACCTTCCCTTGGTTCGATACTCCTTCTTACCACTAAGGTAATACTCAGCAATGTCTAGCGGTTCGAGCATCCGTCTATAATTGTTCCCTGAGAAGAGAGACCGCGTCTTGAGAACCGATTTCTCACTCTGAGGCTTCTTCTCCACTTCTTCAACCAATGATTTCCAGTAATCGTTTAGCTCTCTTTTCCGCTTCTCAACATCCATATCGACTGGTGAAACATAAGACGCGATATGTGTCTTGAACCGGTCGTAGTAACCAATCTTGTCCCTCTTGCTTTTCTTTTTGTACCACTCTAGATACACCATTGATAGTTTAATGTCGTTTAGTTTCTTAAGCTGATCAAAACGCTGCTTCTTCTCCCCTGCACGTTCTTCCATTCGACTGATAACATCATCAATCTTCATCAGTTTTGAATCCGCCGATGATAACACTGGTTGATCCAGACGATCAAGAACTTCTCCGTAGTCTCTCCAGCCTACTAGATCCTTGTCAACACCGATTAGCAATTCCAAGACCGCCTCGTGGTCTTGAATGCAGATACATTCAGATTCAAAACAGATCAAGAACGTTCCAAAAGGCTTCAAGAAACCCGCCGTGATGGGGTTTTGTGAAGCATCAGCCACGTGGAAGAAACATGAGTTCCTCAAGGAATTCTCAAGAATCTGTTGCAATGAAGCGTCTCCGATTAAGGGAGATCCAAACGTGATGCACAAGGGGCGTGGTCGTTTTGGCTTGATAGTTTCTAGAAGCCATAGCGTGAAGAGAGATGCGGCGGATCCTCCTAACGCAGCTCCGGTGATGATCACCGGTTTCTTTGACTCGAGCAACTGCAAAAGGCCACACATATAACTTTTCAAGATTCACAAAGTTGTTGACTTTTGTGAACTACAGAGAGAAACAAATTATGAACAGAGTACCAAAAGCTAGTTGAGTGAAATTGCAAGACAATTATGTTTAAGCAGACAAAATAAACTAAGTCTCAAGATTTTGGTGTTGGTCTTAACCTCAGACAGTGTTTGGTAAAGTCGTTGCCTTGAAAAAAGCCAGACTCTAAGCAAATTCTGAAGAGAAAAAAAGAGACAGCTATTGAGTGGAATAAAAACATTACCTTTGATTTGAGGTGAAGGAGATTTTCCTTATAGGCAGAGACAAAAAGCTGAAACGCAGGTGTGTGAAGAGAGAATGATGAGATCTTCTCGGAACAGAGGAAGTGAAACGGATTTTGATTTGGTGTCCCGGAAAGAAGAGTCGAAGCAGAGTTTAAAGAGCAATTTCTGCGAATCGGTGGTGCAGCGAAAACCACAAAGGTGAATCTAGCTTCTTCATAAATCTTGATTCCCAAAGCTGAATCTTTATTCGGATAGCTTGATTTGTGTATCTCAGAGATCTTACTCCATGAGCTGTGTAAGAGACCTGAGCTCAACATAAGCTTCCCGAGCTGAAAACCCTTTCTAAAACCAAGGAAACCCCCAAAAAATTAGTCAAATGTCCAAAAAAGATTTTCAAAAAAAGACAATATCAAACAAAACAAAACAAAAAGGATTTAAATTCAATGATTGAGCCGCAAGAAGTTGAGAAACGGAGAAACTAAAAGAAAGAAAAAGGAAGTAACCGTAATACTTACAGTGAAGAAGAATCCATGGCGTGAGCAGGAACAGATCGGCGGTAGAAGGCAATTAAAAGGGACGAATTATCGATCGCAAGTTGACAGTTAATGTCTGAAATTGAGAGGAGTCATTTTCTCATAATATTGATCACCTTAAATAGCCAAAATAAATAGTTAATTACTCGGCGTCGATAAACTATAAATAGTTGATATCTCTTTTCCGCGAAGATTCGTTCTCCTTCTCCATGAAGCTTTTATTTTGTTAACACATTCTCGATGGAAACTTAGGAGGCGATTTTTGTTGACTTTGAAATAACACAAAAGTGTGAATACAAACACATTTGCGTTTTGAAAACAGTAGCATGACGTCGTGTATAATAGCACGAGAAAAGAAGGAAAACGTCATTAACGATTTGTTTAGTATTGGCTCACAATTACACAGACAACAAATAGTAAGTACCCATTGTAAGTATGAGTTTAGTTTCAACCATTTTATATAATCATAACATTTCAACACCTTCTCGGTTAATTTTTTTATATATAAAATAAAATTCAAGTTTTCAAAAATCTAAAATTTATAGTTTTTTTTTCTCTGAATTAACTAAACTCTTTAAAATTTTAGAATGGTAAATTTAAAATTTCAGTTTTTTTCATGTAAAACTGAATAATTTGTCAAAGGGTATTTATGTATTTTGACATGATTGCTTAATCTCTTCGAGTGGATAATGTGAGAAGGGAAAGAATACTCTGAAATAGCGTGGAGCAAAAACCCCTTTTTCTTTCAACTCACAACCTTATCGAGTGAAGAAGATTGTGTAGTAGCGAAACGAAAATGGCGTCGATTGCAGCTTCTTCTACTTTTCACTCGTTTTCGACAGCCAAAAGCCCTAATCTTTCTTCGACCCATCTTCTTCCTCTATCGAAAAACGTCAGCTTTCGAACCAGGCCCGTCGTTTATAGCCGAATTTGCAATTTCTCGGGGTTTACGAAACAGAATCGCCTTGGGTTTAGGAAGCTTTCGTCGGTTGGAGAAGGAGGAGAAGGTGTTGCTCTTGCAGATGAAGAGCAACAACAACAACAAGAGACTGTCTCTGTGCCTGTCTCTCCTTCAGACATGCTCACCATGTTTTTTCAGGTTCATCACACACTCTCTCTCTTTGGTTAACTCGTCTAGTGACTTTGTGTGATTATCATCCTCAATCTCTATTAAGTATATATATACGGTTACTAGCTCCTAACATAGTTCGTAAATAGATAAGCTAGAATGCTTTGTATATAAATAGCACATTGTATCTATTTGCACATGGCAATAAGATTGAGCATTCTGAAGATAACAGTAGTCTACGTCGATTGATTCAATAGTTATATCAGATCTCAGAAATGAGCATTGCACATGGTATTTAAATTGTCTTGAAGATCCTCTATGATCACTACTCTGTTGCGATTTCAAGTGTGGCCTCGAAATTGAATCTGATCTTTTTTGTTGGCTTTTTTGCTTGATCTTGAAGGCTGATGGAACTTTGAACGAAGGAGCTATTCCTAATGTAACAAAGGCCTTACAGGTAATACTTTGCTTTTAGATCTCTCCGTGAACTAGCAAATCTGTTTGGGGCTCGAGGAGAATCTTTGTGATTGCATCTGTTTCTTGGACTATATAAAACCCTTTTGGTTACTTGTTTCGATTCAATCCTATCTCTGTAATTGTGTTAAACCCAAATTTTCGGTGTTTACTTTACTCTTGACACCCTTAAGATAACTATTTGCCTTTAATTTCAAAAACAGTGAACATATAGTTCCAATAGCCAATCTTGTTTGTTCTTTCAGGATATCGATGGAGTTTCCAATTTAAAGGTTCGGGTTTCTGAAGGTGTTGCCGTCGTTGAGGTATGTTTACATCCAGCATTCTCTTGATACATTGCCTTTACATGCCTAAGCACACACATACACATGGATATTTATAGATGAGGACAAGATTTTGAATATGTGTGATTAGAGATACTTTGGCCTGCACAGTACTACAAAGACTGGACTGATAAAGTATGTCACTTGGTTTCTACATTTTGGCGGTTTACCGCTGGGTTGGGCCTCTAAACCTTGAAAAGTCAAGGCCTTTATAGGAACCGTCGTGTTTTCGATGGATGAAAATCACTACAATAACTTTATGTTTGATGTTTTGGATCAAACGATTGAATCTAACTTTTGTTATGTTCAATGTGTGTGTGTCTGTGTGAAGCTTTCAAAGCAAACAACGGTTCAAGCAACAGGAGTGGCGTCAAGCTTGGTGGAGACTATACAAGGAGCTGGATTTAAGTTACAGACTTTGAATCTAAGCTTCGAAGATGAAGATGAGGTTCTGGTCTAGTTAAATAGTCCTTCTCCTCCGTTTTGTCATTATGGAAACACATTGCATTATGCTCAGTTTTAATGATATTTTCTTTCATTTGTTCCTTGCAAGAAGACAATGTGGTAGATAACCAAAAAAAAAAACGGAAATTAATGTTAAAGAAACACAAAAATTAATGGGTCATAAGGGTTCCCACAAAGCATGGAGGTTGGGATTCTTATTGACTTTCGGGTTCCATAGTTTGTAGTTTTGTGTCTATATATATATATATATAGTGACTCACAGCTCATGCGTTGTTGTACTTTTATCTCTGCTTAGAACACAATTTCTTTTTTTTTTTGTTTTGTCAATTAGAACACAATTTCTTTACTTCTCCTTTTGTACACAAATTCTTTACTTCTCCTTTTGTAATCGGAGATTATTGACCAAAATAACTGACATTCAATTGGACTAACGCAGCTTGGCTAATTATGTCTCTGACAAACAGCAAATCTGGCTAGTGAGTTTTTGAGTCTTATCTTTAACGACCATAGCAAATAGTATATTATTAGGAAATCTTTCTACATTTTTCTTAATTCAACTTACGATATAAGTATTGTTGTCAGTTGTCACTTAAATAATAAAAAAATTAGCATAATTTATCATTAGACCATAGTTCATAATATTATTGTAATAATTTACTTTGATTTATAGTTTTATACATATATATGTATATAGTATACTTGTTACCAATGGCTTTATATATAATCTTTGTTTCAGTGAAACGAAGAAGATAACAAACACATCTGTAGTCTGTTTCTCCTTATAAACTTATGAAATTATGATGTCGTGGAATCTGTTTTATTATTACACATAATAGATAAGATTAAAAAAAAAGGTTTAAATAAAGTTGAAGCAAATTCATTCGTGACAAATTATTATCATGCTCTACCAAAAAAGAGGAAAGTGTACTCACTACTCAAGACATATGTAATGATAAAATATCGAATTCTATACGCAGTTGTCGATTTCACTTTATTGAACTGTTGACCCCTTTTCGAAAAATCAGAACTAAATAATAAATCACCGAAACAATTTAAAGAACTCATGTGCCATTGTCCGTCTCTGATTTGATAACACTTAAGATTTTTTTATAAAAAATATAAAGGATATACTATATAAGTAACTAAGATATTCGTAACATCTTCGACCAAAAGAAAAAAAAAAGTAACTAAGATATTTCAAAACACTTTATCGTAGGACAGTTAACAAATACACGACAAACTACTTCTCACTGGTGCAATAATCGAAGCGAACGGACTTTTTATATAAACGACACAGCCTTATGGGCAAATCGAATGCTATTTATAAAATTTTAGCATCCTTATTATAATAAAGTTAGTAATGTCAGCCACTAGTTTCTCGGGGTACTCTAACATATCCTATATTTTCACCATAGTCCATATACTTTAAAGATTTCTAATTAAAAAATACTCTTTCTGTTTTATAATAGTTGATTTTCTGAAATATTATACATAGATTAAGAAGCAATAAATATTCAATTATTTTCTATTTTGTTTTTTTGATTAATTTATTTTACAATTAATTTATTACTTTTATTAATATTACTTTAACTTTTCCACCAATAGAGAATAGAAACATGCATTAATTACAAATATGTATTAATTACACACAATAAATCAAATATTATGAAACAAAAAAAATACTCAGAAAATCAACTATTATACAACAGAAAGAATAAGAAAAAAAGTGTTTTTACTTATTCTAATAAACTGTCCAAGTTGAGGTAGGAATAAAAATGGGAATTTCATATATTTTCTATAATATCCATTTTGGGAGTCTGATATTTTGTTCCTCGAGCTCTGAAAAATTATGATGCAGTGAAAGTTCAAAGCTGGCATGCATATTGCATATAATAACTACTCTGGACCTAGCACTTGCTATGCATTTAAATTACTGTATTTAGTTGTATTTTATGGATAATAAAATATATTAATAAAAAAACGAACTTCTATTTATAGCACAAAAAGCAATGGTCTTCTTCGTGTGACTTCACCACTTCCTCATCTCCCACAAAAATGGCTTTCTCACTACTTTCAGTCTTCATCTTTCTTCAAGTCTTTACCAATGTAAGTGACTAGTATTTTTTAACAAAAAGATGTTATTAATGTTTTCCGTTGGCGTTACGTTTTTGCACATTTTAACTATCTGTATAATTTGATCAATCACCGAGCAGGTTGTTTTTGCTGCTTCAGATGAGGAATCCAAGACACTAGTATGTTTCTAAATTTCTGATTTTACGTTTTAACTTTTTAAATAAATATGTATATTTGTAACTATGCATTAGTTAGGCAAATTAAACTTTTTTTACAAAAAAATTGGCAAATAAAGTATTTTTTGTATAATAAAGTGAACTTTTGGTATTCCAATGTTTGCAATTTATAGGTTTCTTTACCAACGCCACCACCGACGTCTCCGGCAATCAAACCGCCGTCTCCGTCGTACAAGCCACCCACGCTGCCTACTATCCCGATTAAACCACCCACCACTATACCTCCGGTTAAACCACCCACCACACTACCACCGGTCAAACCTCCCACCAGTCCGGTTACACCAACGAAACCACCGGTTAAATCGTACCCAATTCCTCCGGTCAAACCACCCACAGCACCACTGGTCAAACCACCTACGTACAAACCCCCAACGCCAACGGTTAAACCACCCACAACACCACTGATCAAACCACCGCCGGTTCAACCACCTACGTACAAACCCCCAACGCCACTGGTTAAGCCACCCACGACAACGCCAGTTACGACACCACCACCGGTTAAACCACCTGTCAACCCAACCCCAACACATCCGGTTAAACCACCGGTAGCACCGGCCAAACCTCCGACACCACCTCGGATAGGTAATTTCAGTAGATAATAATTACGTATTTTTACTTTAAATAGGTGTAATGGTTACTGATCGTTGATGTAAATGGACTTCAATATTTGGACGGTATAGATTGCGTGTCTTTATGTGGGACACGGTGTGGCCAACACTCGAGGAAGAACATATGTATGAGAGCGTGCGTCACGTGCTGCTACCGCTGCAAGTGCGTGCCCCTGGCACGTACGGTAACAAGGAAAAGTGTGGATCTTGTTACGCCAACATGAAGACACGTGGCGGAAAACCCAAGTGTCCTTAATTAAACCTTTGGTTAATTTGGAAAGGGCACTAAATCATTATATCAATGATTTAGAGGGAAAATGGTGTTTTATAAGTTTGTATTGCGTTTTATTTTGGTCTTTTATTTGGTTTAGTAGTATTTTGAGTTGGATGTGCGTTTAAGGAATGTAGAATCTATATATAGAAAATAAAAAAATTCGATGGATTAAGGTTTTTCTGGATTTAGTTTTGTATTAATAATCTAGGGCTAAATAAAGTTTTAAAAATCATATTAAAAAATTCTATAAGTTATAGGCATATCTTCGGCCCAAAAAGAAAGCTCCTATGTCGGTATTACTATGAACCCATATATTAAATCAAATTCGATAGAAGAGACAGAAAGATAGGAGGACATGACATGCTCATGCACAATATTGATACAATCCGAAATATGAGTGTTGAGCTTTATTTGGGCCTATATTTTAAAGGATCAGTGGGGAAGTCTTGAGAACGAGACCTGTTTACTCATGGCTTACGGATATCAGCTTATTCTACATATTCTTATAACAAAAACAAAAAAAATAGAAATTCGAAAAGTTTGTGTATTTCTCGAAAATGATCAAACAATTAGCAAACTTGTTATGGATTTTCCATGTAATACCCAATGTTCTCTTTCCCCTTAGTTTTGAGTCACTAATATTTTCTATTCAGAATGTCCACCGTATTGGTTAACAAAACACTTTGTATTTTGACTATATAATTTCACATTAGAAATGCATATTTTGTCAAAAATAAATAAATAAGATTTCCTCTAATATGTCAAATAATAACATATACGATTAAACACAGACAGAATCATAGAAGATAGGACATCAAAAAGGTAAAAACACTAAAACACATTTTTCTTATTTTTTACTCAAAACATTGAGGATAAAATTAATATTTGATTTCAGTATATATGATAATTATTGTTTATTATATTGTTGTGGTATATTCATGAGACAGCCGTGCGAGAACAATAACAACAAACATAGATCACATTAAAATCTTACAACATTATAAGATGTTGATATATCCTCAAAATGAAAGATTAGTTTTCTAGGAACATTACTTGTCGTAATTATGCAACGAAAACCTTTGGTTTATGAACTTGTCGTATGCATTACATTAAATATGCACATAATTGGAAACCTTCACATAAAGCTGTATGTAGATCAATTTTCATCATGTAAGGGAAGGAGTCAACATGTTTCTATTATAAAATAAAGGGAATAAATCCGTAAAATGATATTTCTTTTGGAAAATTAATTTCACGTTTCTTATTTAACAGTTTAAGTATAATAATTCTATTTAATAATTTAGAAGTTTCCAAGAAAAAAAAAAATAATTTAGAAGTTTCAAGGATTTAAGATAAATTTCATAATATATAAATTAGTCTAGGAATTCTGATTGGATAGAGAATGACCAATGCGTTTATTGAACCGTTTTATGTTAGATGTAACTTGCTAAGTCGGTGCTGTTAGATGTAACTTGTTAAGTCGGTGCTGTTAGATGGAAGTAAGACATGGATCTGGAGAAATGTTACATGTAACATACTTCATGAACCCCAAACAAGATCCATATGTCTTGATGATGAAATCTTTTATGCCGCACATCTATCAAGAACAAAGATCGCGATGATAGGATTCAACATGAAGACTGAAACATTCTGCTTCAGCCAGATTCCAGAGCCTGTTAAGCTCGGCCAAGTCTTTCTGTGGGAAACTGATCCTTTCCATGTCCGAGGTAAAGTTGCGATTTCCTTTTCTGATCTCAAGGGAAATCACCGAATCTGGGTTTTGGAAGATGTGAACGAGGACAAATGGTCTCTTATGCTGCTGGAAACACCATTGTCCTTACAAGATGAAGGAAATTGGATCAGTCCACGTCTGTCCTTTCAAGGGTTAAGAAAGAGAGGAGACATCATGGTTTTTACTCAAATTCAAGACTGTGTCTTGGTAGTTTACTGCTACAATGCAGCAACCGGAAAACTTCAGAAGGATACAATGGAAGGCGTTGTAGGAGGTAGATCGGTGCTCATGTTCCTTGATCAGGTTGAGAGCATTATGTTCTTGTGAGTTTGTCTTGGCGTCAGCTACTGGAGGGGACTGATGGATGACTTACGAAATTTGATTTTTTTTGCCATTCATAGGCATTTATAGAAATTACGGTACTGGAGTTTTTTTAGAGGAATTGTGAGAGGTAGATAGTGGTGATGTTTCTTGATCACACCGACATCATTTTGCTTCTGTGAGCTTGGTCTTTGGTCTAGATATGACTTACCTAATTCATTGTGTAAAGAGTTTTAGGAATTGGATTTGGGAATAGGAAATTTTGCCATTCATTAGGCTTATACGCTTGTAAAAAAATAGAAAAAAAAAATTGTAACATGTCATATGAAAAGAAGAATACTTTCAAAGAGCTTTTACCCATCTCTTTTTTTACTCGCAACCTCTTTTTTAATTTACTTGGCATTTGTGTAATTATCATCCTTAATCTCCATTTACGGCTTGGTATCAGTAGGCTAGTTCGATAGATTCATAGTTTTATCGGATTTTAGAAACGAGCATTGCAAAATAGTACTTGAATTGTCTTGAAGATTCAGTCCAGTTTTTGTAAAGTAATGTAAAAAACTTGGGTTTCAGTGTTCATTCTCCTCTTACTACGCTTTAGATCTTCCTGGACGTTGACTGATGAAAAAGTGTACATCTAAGTTATAACCGAAAGTGTACATTGTATCACTTTCGCTTTTTATGTTGCCCGAAAGGGAGACATCGTTGGTGTATACCGAAGTTTCAGAGAATGCCAAGAACAAGCTGGATCATCTGTAATTCCTCTGTTCTTCCTTTTCTTTCTTAGTCTGTGAAAGTGTGAAGTGATAAAATGTCTATGTACTTGAGATGTTATCTTTGATTTTTCACTTTAATCTCTTTTTATCTTAATCATGAGCTGTGCGGTAGGATAAAAGCTCTGTTTTATTTTCTTTCTTAGTTTTATCCTTTAGTCAATCTCTAATTTGGTTTTTCAGGTTTGCCATCTTTCAATGAGTGTTTACAAAGGATATGGTTGGCCTAAAGGAGCTGAGGAGCTTCTTGCATCATTCGAGCTGAAGAACGCTCTATTTTTAATCAATGCAAGTCATGTCAAAGATGATGTTTTTGGGAAACTTATTCCTTTTCCTTTACAGGTCTGGTGAAGCCTAGCGTAGTCTCGTTGCAAAAGAGTTTCGAAATTGTTTTGAGATTTTATAAACAACACATTTTCATATTTCAGCACCAACCATCTTCTTCGCAAGGAGCTATGCTTGACAAGCCTTTCCGTTCTAAGAGACTGCACGATATGTCTAAAATGGAGAATCAATGGAAGTCAATAGACATGTATGGTATAGCTATTAGCTTCTTCACGGTTGAATATGTAATAGTAATTCTGTCGTTCGCCGTCCTGTTGAAATAATTATCCCTAGTGGAACAATAAATATGATGATGGTACATTTTGTTTCTTTATTTTGATTGATCTTTAATTGCAAGGAAGAGATGGATCAGATATCGTTGCCAGAGATTCGAAACGACTGTTGTGTTGTCGTGCTCTGTTCTTGTTGCAGAGGAGAGGATATTGAGTAGCTGGGCTGGATTTGGATCTTGATTCGCCCACTTCTTTGGTGATTTCTGACTGGGCTTTTGTCGCAGGCCCAAGTGGTGTTTTGTTGACACTAAGCAAAACCTCTGTCTCAGAAGTGGGTGTCGGCTTTGTCATTGTCTTGATCTATACCAGTCTTTTAGTGAACATAAAACAACGTTGGTATTCTGTAAAGAGACGATTATGAACAATCAGTTATGTCTTTTGACGTGCCGCTTTTTCCCCCTCGGCTAGTAACAGAACCCTTTTAATGGACAAATTAGGCTGAAATAGAATCTCTCGAGGATTTTTATGTCTTTTGGCGTGATTGTTTATCCATTCGACTTTTTCGATCATATGTACGTATTAAACAGAGAAACGAGACAAGCTAAAAAAGAGAATACATAACAACAAATGAAATCAAGGTGTAAATTACACTTGGAAACTTTCTCTCTTCCCTGCAATGGCGGGTTGTGAAAGGAACACTTGCTATGAAACTTACCACAAGGCTCAGCAAACATAAACCGGAAATGAGATGGATTGATGGATCGGATACAAGCTTCATACTGTGGACCTAACGGACATGAGGTGATTATCCTTACGCTATTGCCCACCAAATCGATGGTTATAAGTATTGGGGGCAAAGAGAAGGAAATTATTGCTAGCTGTTAGTAGATATAAAATCTTCGCCGGGGTAATTTTCTCCGGTCAGAATTTCAGCTACCAGAATCTTAAACCACCGTACGGATCGGTCTGAAATATCGGTGAATAACTCCGTTGTCGCTACGCCAACGTGTCTCTCTGTGATCCACCGCTGAGTTGTCGGATGAATCTCCGGTCAGAGATTTGTGGTTAAAACAAACTTATTGAGTAGTTTTATTCCGATTATCTCAGCTATACAAAGATGAAATCAAATGTTGAGCTGAGAGGGAAGAAGGCAAAAAGCCAACGGAGGTGTTTGTGTCTTTATTTACACATCTTTGGTTAGAATATTGGTGCAAGAAAATACCTGATATCATCACGAAAGATGTCCCATAAGCATGTGAAGTATTAAGTCGATCGCTTCACCATGAGAAGGTCCATGAAAAGGTAAAATCAGCAGCGTTTAGAAGGAAATCAGTTTTTTGCCGGAACAACGAAAGAAAAGGAAATCACGTTTTGTTGAAAAAGGAAATAGTGACCTTAATTGGCACTAATAATGAATTCTTTTTTAGTTCTTTGACACTGATAAAGATTTCTCTCATATCATCAACCAATAAAATATTAACAACACGGGGAAGAGTTTGTCATTAAAAACACTAAAAGCCTTATCAGAATAATAATAATTTAGTTTTTTTTTTTAAAGAAAAACGCGCATTAACTTTTTAACAGAAAAATAAAAGGAAATTACAATTTAGCATATTTTTGGTAGGAAAAGGAATGGTAACAACTATATAAGTACGTGCTATCGTTGAATGGTTTCAGAAGTCGATGAGGATGGATATGATGATGAAGAAGGCGACGTATTCTAAGAGGTATTTCGAGATTCTGGAGAAACGGAGGAACCTGCCGGTGTGGTTGCAGAAACAAGAGTTTCTCCAAACTTTCAAGAAAAACCAGACGGTGATATTGGTCGGTGAGACCGGGAGTGGGAAAACCACGCAGATCCCACAGTTTGTTTTAGAAGCAGTGCTCGACGAAAACCCTAACCCTAATCCAAGTGGGAGGAAGTGGTTGGTTGGGTGCACACAGCCTCGTAGAGTTGCAGCGACGTCTGTGTCCCGTCGTGTTGCTGAAGAGATGGATGTTCAGATCGGTGAAGAAGTCGGTTACACCGTCCGTTTCGAAGATTGCACCAGCTCCCGAACGGTGCTCAAGTACCTGACCGATGGTATGCTTCTAAGAGAAGCAATGGCGGATCCACTCTTATCGAGATACAAGGCGATTGTTCTCGACGAGGCACACGAAAGAACTTTAGCCACAGATTTGCTTGTTGGTCTTCTTAAACAAGTCTTGATGAATCGACCTGATATCAAGCTGGTCGTGATGAGTGCAACCCTAGAAACCAACAAGTTTCGCGAGTACTTTCTCGGTGCTCCTCTGATCAAAGTTCCCGGTCGGCTTCATCCAGTGGAGATCTTGTACACTTTAGAACCTGAGATGGATTATCTTGAGGCTGCTATAAACACTGTGATCCAGATTCACATGTGTGAGCCACCAGGTGATGTTCTTCTTTTCTTAACGGGAGAAGAAGAGATTGAAGAGGCTAGCAGCAGAATTGCCGGTAAACTTGGAGATCAAGTCAGAGTTGTGCCATTGTATTCCACTCTTCCGCCTGCCTTGCAACAGAAGATATTCGATCCTACACCAGATCACGTGAGGAAGATTGTTGTCTCCACCAACATTGCGGAGACTTCGTTGACCATTGACGGGATTGTTTACGTGGTCGATCCTGGTTTCTCCAAGCAGAAAATCTACAACCCAAGCACTCGTGCCGAGTCCTTGTTAGTGTCTCCAATATCACAGCCAAGTGCTGACCAGAGAGCAGGTCGTGCTGGTAGAACAAGGCCTGGAAAATGTTTCAGGCTTTACACACAGAGAAGTTTCAATGACTTGGAGGAGAAGACGGTCCCTGAGATGTTGAGATCAAACCTTGCAAATACAGTTCTGACCTTGACAAAACTTGGTGTTAACTTGGTTAGATTCGATTTTATGGATCCTCCTGCTCCTCAGACCCTCTCTCGTGCCTTGGAGGATTTGTATCATTTAGGAGCATTGGATGATGAATGTAACTTGACAAAGACAGGCGAGATGATGAGTGAGTTTCCCTTAGACCCACAGATGGCGAAGATGCTCATAGTCAGTCCTCAATTCAAACTGCTCAAACGAGATACTTTCGGTTTCAGCGATGCTATCAGTACCCAATTGTTTCATCAGGCCAAGAGGAGAAGCTCAGAAAGCAGCAGATGAAGCTAAATCTAGGTTTGCACACATTGACGGAGATCACCTCACGCTCTTGAATGTGTTCCACGCTTTCTTGCTAAACAATCAAGACCCGAATTGGTGCTACGCAAACTTCATCAACTACAGAGCAATGAAGTCTGCAGTTAGTGTTAGAGAGCAGCTGGTCCGGATCATGTCGAGGTTTAAGATGAAGCTGTGCAGCACGGGTTTCAACAGCCCTGACTACTACGTCAACATAAGAAAGGCCTTGCTTGCCGGTTATTTCATGCAAGTGGCTCACCTAGATCGCACTGGCCACTACTTGACCGTCAAAGATAACAACCAAGTGGTTCACCTGCATCCTTCAAACTGCTTGGATCACAAACCAGAGTGGGTCGTTTACAACGAATATGTTTTCACAAGCCGGAATTTCATCCGAACTGTTACACATATTCGCGGTGAATGGCTTGTAGATGTTGCTCCAAGTTACTATAATCTTGCAAGCTTCCCCAACTCTGAGACCAAACGAGTCCTGCAAAAGTATTATAAGAAGAGAGTGTGTGAGAAGAAAGGAGCTGTATAAATTATATTTTTTTTTTCGTTATGAAATATGAAAGAGATTGCTTTTGTTGACAACTGCATTATTGAATGGCCATTGGCTCTACTGTTTATGAACCTTTAGAGGTTCACCTATTCATTGCATTTTCAGGATGATCTAAAGTGTATAAGAGTAGAATGAACACCGAAACCAAATTTAGAAATAGTTTTATATTACCTTACAAAAATGGGATTGAATCAAAACAAGTAACCAAAGGGGTTTTATAACCCAAGCAAGAAACAGATGAATTCACACTTATTTGCTAGTTCAAAGAAGAGGAACCTAAAGACAATGGCTTTACATTCTTCTCTGCGTCTGTTCAGCAATCATAAAAAGAAGCAAAAGAGTATTACCTTAAGGCCTTTGTTACATTAGGAATATAGCTGCTTCGTTCAAAGTTCCATCAGCCTTCAAAGTCAAGCAAAAAAAGCCACAGAAGATCAGATTTAATTTTTCAGGTCGCACATGAAATTGCAACATAGTGCGCATGGAGGATCTTCAAGTCGAATAAATTACCATTGCTTATTAATGCTCGTTTCTCAGACCAGATATATAAACCATGAATCAGTCTAACTAGCCTACTGTATCTCAACTAATAACAATCTATAAATCGAGATTGATGTTGATGATAATCACACAAAAATAGCCACTGGAGTATATTTATCAGTCAGAAAGACCATGCTCCAAGATATTGATATATGCAACAAACTAGGAGAGGAGACCTGCTAGAATGCTAAACGTCTAAACTTCAAATAGGATAAAGAACCAAATTACATACCAAAGAATAACCACTTGATGATAAATAATATATCTCAAATCAAACTACCAATGGCAAACGGATCAAATCCTAAAGCTGAAATGAAGAATAAAAGAATAGAAGCAGGAACCTAATCCACAAAGAAAATCGATAACCAGAAATCGGATTTAAGCTGAGAAAAAAACAAATCCACCACAATAGGATAGTAGATTTCAACCTAAACTTTATTCCAAGAGAGAAAATCCACCATTAAGTAATCTAATCAGAGCACTAGAAGTTAGAGAGTAGAATAAACTAGATAAGTGCCCCTGTCTTCATTTTAA